ATCATATCCGTTTACTGCCACTTGTAGTTTTGTTTGTAAATCATAATACCGTTTGAATTTTATGACCAGTCATTATAATCAAAGTTACGCTTCAAATATCTACCTTTTATACACTTCATGCTTCACCTAATAAGTGTAATCTTACCGCGGAAAATACCGCAATTACCATTTCTTTGTTAGTAGATAAGTACAGTAAAAACTACATTATCTACAACGATTTACATGAATCACCTTCGAAAAAAATGGAAACTTATACAAAAGCTAAATTGTACGTGATTCTAACTGAAATAGCAAAGGCAACATCGGTCCTTGTGAAAAAGCCCTTAACAGCTAAAGTTAGAATAAGGCTATTTCGATGACGGTAGGTTTAAATGATAATGACGATTTGTATTTGCCCTAAATGGAATGCACAATAGTCACTAAATTGTTTGTGACTGTATCGGTAAATCCGAATGATATACGTGTAAAGTAAGTGGGTTCGGCGAAGTTTCACAAGATGGAGTGCCCGTAACTAGTTAAGTGGCCGACAGCAGTTAGCGACCAATATCTACACATGTAACTAAGTGCTTAAATAAGTACTTACAAAGGTGCCAGTTTCTCAATCGTCAAACATTTCCATTGTTTACATTTTCTTCTATCGATTGTTTACTTAAATGATCGGAGCACGCTTCTCCATTTACAAGTTCACACTCGAGACAACTTTGAGTTCATTCGTTTCCTGACCTACCTTAGCTACTTATTGTACATGTGTGTGTGTTTATATTGTTTCCTAACGATAGTGTTTAACCATCCGTCTCAACATTAAACTCAGTCCGCTCCAGTAGCGTTTAGTAGTATTACAACATAACAAAATGTTTCAACTATATAAACAACAACATTACAAATCAGAAGCCAACTTTTGTCTAGAACGCGACAAAGATTTCTTGGCCAGTTGCGACGATGTCCCATGAAGGCTCTTACTATCGAAGCGCTTCGATCTCGTAGGACAGGTTGTCTCCAAGAAATCGTAAAAGTGATTAACAGGTTCGAACCATGCGAATCCTTGTTCAGCTTTACCCAACCAGATATGCCCATTTGGATCTATCAATCGTAAGTTGCCTATTGGGCAATTGTCGGCAAACTCACATTGCAAGTAACCTCCATCAGGATATGTATATTTACCCTTGCCGAAATAAGCCCAATCTTTAATAGTTCCTTCAAATTTCGCACCATCCAAGTACGTTATTACAACCTCATCATTCAAGCCGAATTTATCCTGATCCCAGTTTCCTTGGTACCGGTCACCTTCAGCTGTCGTATAAACGCCATACCCTAAAACATTGACATTCTGATTTTAACTAATGGTAATTAATAGTTACTTTTGAAAGACAGTAAGTACAGGAAGAGAACGAACGCAACTGTTCGAATAATTGGACCGTAACGTTCGTCTGTGCGCGCGTTGGAATGGATTACGATACGGTCCATTAGACCACACTGGATTTGACAAAAATATTCCACTGAGTACGTCGTTTACACCCGAAAGAAAAGGCGTCTTTGCAAGACAATAGGTACATAATTTGGTTCACATTTGTATGATTAAGTAAAGTATGCGTTGTTACCTGCAAGTGCCTAAGTATTCAAATTTTGCACATTAGACGTCTGTCGAGACCACACATTATGTTGTAGCTTGCAGTTATTTACCTAAGTATATTAATAGACAAGGAAGAAAGATCCATGTTTATTTTTTTAATTAACCCGGCTTTTCAAGTTTGCAAGTATGGCTGCCGATAACTACTCCTAATCGAATTAAAGCACTACGTAAATTATAATAAATACTTAATCGATAGTGTAACCGAATCCACCATTGATGAGGATAAACTTTTTTTATAAGTAATAGGTCGGCAAACGAGCAGACGGATTACCTGATGGTAAGCAATCAGCGCCGCCCATGGACACTCGCAACGGAGGAGTTAGGAGTGCGTTGCCGACCTTTTAGGGATAAGTGATTTGGAGATTTAAGGGATTGAGGAGGGATTGGAGAAGGGGAAGGATTGGGCCTCCGGTAACCTCACTCACACGGCGAAACACAACGCAGTGGTTTTTTCACGCCGGTTTTCTGTGAGGCCGTGGTATCACTCCGGTCGAACCGACCCATTCGTGCCGAAGCATGGCTCTCCCACACTTAAAAGCTTCTTGGGACCTGTTTACTCAAAGTTGTATGCGTTATACATTTAAAAACTCTCACCTTGCATCTTAACAATGCGATCTTTCTTCTTCGCCTCGAAGTATCCATCATATGTGTCTCCGGTCTGATGCTGGAAAAAGCCCTGATCATGTACAATAGGTAGGTCCTTCTCCTTCAGCGACAATTTGTCCCTCTTCGACACATCTTCAACTTCACGATCTGTAGTAGCCGCCACCGTAGCCGTGAACATTGACATCTCTGTTTTTGTGGTTTCTGATGCGTCCGTCATTGTCACACTGTATCCAAGTTGGTAAAAAGTAAGTATAAGGAAAATATATAATTAACTAAAAAAATATAAGCAAAGGTAACTTGTCGCGTCTAATACGGGGCTTTCGGCTGGGGTGGTCCAAAAGCTCGTTGAAACGCGCGAAACGCGACGCACCACACGATCGGCTTTGATTCTGGTTTAGGTAGTATCTTATCACGAACTATAGCCTCCAACGACTGGAGATCGTCGCGCTGTCTGGGACGCCCGAATCGCTTCCTGATTTGGCTGGGGTATAATTCGTCCCGTGATTCCCACCTTTCTCGTTGTCAGCACAAATGCTTCGTAAAAGAGACAGCTTTTCATTTCCCCTCGTCCTACACACATATATACTACAGTATACTACTACTAGGTACTACTACTAGGTATACTACTACAGTATACCGAAATGCCCGCACAGTTTTTTAAACATGATGGTAAGCAATCGACGCCGCCCGTGTCCATGCAACGCCAAAGGAGTTACGAGTGCGTTGCCGGCCTTTTGGGAATAAGGGTTGCGAATATTTAAGGATCGGGAAGGGATAGAGGAGGGGTAGGGATTGGGCCTCCGGTAACCTCACTCACACGGCGAAACACAACGCTGTGGTTGTTTCACGCCAGTTTTTTATGAGGCCGTGGTATCACTCCGGTCGAGCCGACCCATTCAAAAGTTTCTTTTTTTGAGGTGCCTTACTATAAAGTTCTATTTTTTATTCAGTCTTCCAGGAAATAATATAAACCACACAGACTGAGTAAAACCATCATACCTATACCTATAGATAGCTGTTCGCGCTACACAGAACACGAGACATAAAGCAAGACGCATTCCCACATAAATTCCTATTGTCTATTGTTACGGTAATTTCGACTAATTGTGCTTATTGTACGCTATGAATATCGTTTTGAAGTATCTGACGTGCTTGTAGGTATAAGTATATACCTAAGTTGTGTTTTTTTTAATTGAGAAATATTTATATAGTTCTTCATTAGAACCAAAGTATTTGCACGTACAGGAGGCTCAATCAAACAGTGTAATGAGTGCATTCTACATCTACAAAACATCCCACCCATCTGACCTAGTGGCGTAAGTGTGAGGACTAGTAATCTCTACCTACAAATATGTAGTTCTCCCATGCTCGGGCTCCAGAAGTGCCTAACAAAATTTTTTCCCACCTAAGTAGTACCTGTATGTTAATTTTGGTCAGTTACCGTGTATGTACTACATATTATTAAAATAATTCAATAAGACGTAAGTACCCAAACACTGTTCACAGTAGTACCTAACACCTATAATTTTCCCATTAATAATTCACATGGTCTGTTTTAAACAAGTTTCAAACACCAAGTAAAATCTATAAGGCTGCGACTTATCCCGGTTATTATGTAAATAAATGAAAAGCTTACATAATACATATACCTAAACACATAGGGTACCTAATAGATATTATGATCAGCATACCTAAAATTGTATCACTGTAAAAATGTCCAAGGTAAGTCTCATAGCATTTATATTTTCAGTCGAATGACGTATGACGGATTGACAGACGTCCCATGTCATTGTCATATTAGGTTGCGTGCAAAGTACTACCCGGCCATGACCTTATTGAGCGTACCGAGACCATGAAGGTTTTATGTATGTAATGCGATAAACCTATTTCGTTATAAGGATGACATTATAATTTCTATTAATATGTGTGTCGAGGACGGTGACCATCCCTGTGTAATTATTTATTTATTTGTTTGAACTTTTGCGTTCAAGGAAGACTGAATGCCACAGGCATTCTTTGTCAGTCGATCCTTTGAGTGATGTAGAAAGCAGTGCATAGTAGTTGCAAAAAGCAAGCAAGCGTATTCGTTGTTGTATAGTTTTTTGTGAGTTGGAAATCATTAAACGACATCTCCCGGCTAGGGTAAGAAGGTGTGTCAGACTCTTACTGACTAAAAACCACCTTGTTAGTGCTCCTGCTCCAAGCCGAGGCCATGAGTGAGAAAAAAGAACATGAGTATTTGGTATGATTTCGGTTCGGCTCGTGTGATTTCGACTCGGCTCGTAAGACTCCGGTTCATCTCGTACGATTTACGACGACGACGTAGAAAAATTTTTTTGATCAGTTGCATAGAATTTTATCCTCTATAATATTGATCTTAAACAGAAATCGGGCAAACCCCATAGGGAGCCAGATAATTGCAGAAAATGTAAAAAACAAATCCTTTTTTGGGACCTTGCTGACCTTTGACCTTATATTGTTTTTGAGAGATTACTAACCTACTTTATTTACAGTAGGTATGTAGATTTTGAGGCATGTCCAAGTAAAACTTTATACAAATGTACAGCTTGGTATCTCAAATTCTGAGGTGAAACTACTAAGACGACTGGACTATAGTGTAAAGTTTCGATAAGCAACATGATAAAAAACACAACATTATGGTGCTATAATGATGAGCTATACGGCCGCTGCTGCGTTGGTTTTGTTTTTTTTACAATATTACGTAGGTACTCTTCATATTATTTACGAGAAATAAAACAAAGTGTAATTGTAAAATATTATATTCCACTAACTTTCATAAAATCATCTGCATCATCAAAACATTATATAAACAGGTGTTAAGAAAACATAAATAAGCCAAATAATATAGATGCATATATACCAATATACCTCGTATTCACGGTTCAAATAATATCTCGTTATAATTTCAATTAAGGCACAAAATATATGTAAATTTTCATAGATCTCTGCTCCAATCACTACTTAATTAAACAAGATTACAATTTTATGAAATAAATACCTATACAAAATGCGAATGGTATTCGAAAAAAAATGATAGCAAAATCCGAATTAGGCAGGATATAAATAAAGTGCGTTAATCTCTTATTTTACATATTCACAGTATTACAAATATAGTTGGAGCTTCTATTTGGACATTGTACGATTACCATTCCTTATAAAACTAAATAAATAACCACTTAATTTTGTAATTACCGCGCTTCCTTCGATTACACGCGCCCCGTTGCTATACCTAGAACCTTCTATACATTGCCCGACTAAAAGCGAACGCACGAGACAGATAATCACAGCACTGGTAAATAAACTTTAAAAAAACAACAACTAATTAAATTACAATCGTAACTAGTATGGACGCGGTAATCGAACGAAACCACAGTGACAACTCGATCGATACATTCGATTATTGGACACTTGCTTGTAGAAATACATAATTCATGGATGCCGTGACTAACTTCAGTGATCAGTGCAGAAATTGATTCTATTAGATTTAAGTCTCCTTTTACACAGTCATCGCTTACAAACATGATTTGTGATCATAAAATAAAACACATAAAAAAGATTGAACTTACAGATAACAATTATAATTTATATTATTTTGTACACAGATGTCCATTAATCAAAATGTGTGGAGTCTTTGGGCAGTGTTCAGAGGATCATGTTGGCGGGGTCCTCCATGTTCTCCTTGAAGGCCTTCATCCATTGTGCGCCGACCGCGCCATCTATAACTCTGTGGTCCGCTGACGCCGTGAATGTCACGAATTTGGCCAGACGGAATCTGGAAAAATTAATATGCTCTTGATAAAGTCACTCACTATGTTGTACTCAACTAACGTCAGTGTGGACTTTTAAATGGATTTTTATTACTTAATGTTAAAATTGTGATTGTACCACGATACATACCCTTGGGGTTCATTTTTGTCGGGGATGACTAATTCCTGGAGACCTCCGCACGCCAAAATTAATGACTGAGGAGGATTGATGATGGCGTTGAACATTGTGATACCTAAGAAAGGGAAATATGGTCATTAAATAATCATTAAAGTCCTAAAGTACATAGCCAGTCGAAACTATTTAGTCGAGATTGTCGAAGAATCTCTTTGTGACTGTAATTGAAAAAAACTGTTTCTCGAAACTACTTAGTAGAGCTTTTTTCAATTAATTAACTTGAGTAAGACGTTATTTTCAATAAATTAAGTACATAAGAATAGTTTGCAAAAAAAAAAGTCAATTCTGTCTTGCATCAATAATCTTTCTTTCGCCTTTGTTTAATATGCATACCTTAATCCTTAATTTTCTTTTCGTTACATAACGTTTCGCCTAGAAAAAATATGCTTGTTAAAAATACTGTGCACCGGATCTTTATTACTGAGTGGCAATACCATTAACATCTCTTTCTTTTTTTCTCCATTCTTTTTGATACTTTCGTATTGTGTATAAGAAACATGTCAAATAAACAACATGCCAATGAACACACTTACCATACATTCCGAGGTTGGAAACAGTGACGGTGCCTCCCTGGAACTCCTGTGGCTGCAGTTTGCCTTCCCTGGCTCTCGCGGCAAGCTCCTTCATGTTCTTGGAGAGCTCAATTATACCGCGCGAGTCACAGTTGAAGAGGATCGGGGTGATCAGACCTGCGGGAGTCGCTACTGCCACGCTCACGTCTACGTTGTTGAACCTGAAAGAGTAATAATTACAATTAAGTAAAGTAAAGAGTTTCACGGACTTCAAACATGCATGGATAATTTTTGTGTTAGGGGAAATTGTCCTGTACAATTGCAAAGACCGTTTATCAAGTTACATACGCTGTTAGATTATAAATTTATAACCCCTCTAAATGTAAAAGGAGGTTAACCACGACATTTTAAGAATGATAGAGAAAAAATATAACTCTGTTTATGGTGCCATAAAATCAAAAATCAATAAACCACTCACTGTCTAATGAAAGAGTCCATCCAGTGCGAGTTGACTGTAGGTACTCGCTTGCAAGCTGCAGCTACCGCCTTTACTATGAAGTCGTTCATTGAAACCTGGAAAACCACATAGTCTGTTTAATAACACAAGTTTTTGATACTTTTGAATTAATATTATTTTTAGCTAAATGCAAACACAGCTGAATTTTGAATATCAACTTAAGACACAATAATTTTTATTTTCTAAAATAATTACTGAAATGCTGTATACCTTAACTTCAGCCTTTTCAGCAGCCAGTTTCTCGTTGACTTTCTTCCTCATCTCAATAGTCTTCTCAACATTGACGGTAGCCGTTAGCTGGTAGTGGGGGATAGTCTGCTTAGCGGCGGACAACCGCTTGGCGATGGTGGCGCGCATGCTGGAGAGGGGAATGTCCACGAAGGTGGCGCCCGGCGCCGGCATCGGGGGCGGGGCCAACGCCTCTGCAGCCGCCGGCGCATCTGATAAGTCTCCACTCTTCAGCGAACCGTATAGTCCCGAACCCTGTCCTGATAGCATGAAATAAGATATTGAGAAGAAGCAATTTAAATCTTTTTAAGTATTTAATTAATATTATTTAAAGTGTTTAAGTAGCCAACTGGATACCTAATAAGAATGTATTTCACGCCATCAGAATAGAGACTGATTTGACAATAAGTGATACCAATGGGTAAAGGAAATATGAAGGACCATGCTCTATCTGGTTATTAAGAAATACTGTATTTATAGATGTGAGAGGGCAAAATATAAAATCTAATAATAAAGCCATATATAATAAACAAAATTTCCTGAATTATAGGGTTTTCAGTGAGGAAAACACTTTTACAATGGGTATGCATATGTCTCAGTTATGACATGAGATTATTCAAAAAAAGTGACACGGTGAAAAGGTTATTATTATATATTATTGTTATGGATTCTTAGCAGAACTAACCACCAAGCCTGATGTTCCTGATCTCGGCGAGTCTCCTGGCCATGGGGCTGGCGTACACCCTGCCGCTGTCCGGTGCGGCTGCGGGCGCTGCGGGAGGCGGGGCCGCGGCGGCTGCAGGCGCGGCCGCCGGCGCTGCTGCAGGGGCCGCCGGGGCGGGGGCCGACGCTGCGGGGGCTGCGGCAGCTTGCGCTGTTTTCAATATAATCTTAATAAACACAGGATCTTTTCCAAATAAGAGATAGTTTGTAAATATATCAACATGCACTCTAAGTTACATAAGTGCCTTTGGATTGATTGAAATAAATGTTTCGACTTTAACTGTGTTTGCCATTAGGAATATAAAATTGGTTATTTAATATTTTTATGACACTAAACATATCTAATTTAAAACATATGCTATCAATGCATTGACTTAGACTTATAGACATGAGACAATTTAGAAGACATGTAAGGACTTAGAAAGAAAAGAAATGAAAATTAAAAAAAAACGTGACAATATATAACCTGTTTTCTTGACAGGCGGCTTGACTGCGCCGGGCGGTGCTGTGGGTACAGACAACAGTTAGACAAACATGCAATGTATGTGCAACCAGTATTAGTTTACATTTACACCAAATGCTGAAATTAAAACATTAACACTGTATTACAACATCAAATCATGCTGGCAGCGAGAGTTATATGTATTTTTATAAAAATAAATTAAAGAAGCCTGGGTAATAGTCATCTTATGATCTACTCTAGTCCCAATATTATCATCTTTTTCTACACATGTAACCAAATTCACAATGTTTCCCATGTTTCTCTGTAGGCCTCCTGCATACTAATAAAGAACTTATTGAATTTCTTACTTAATGTATGGATTTTGAAACATTTATTGTGTTTGTTATGGTAAAACTTTTGTGTTATGAAAACATGACATTCAATAGTTAGATATCATTAACTTGAGGATATTGATAGCAAAACAAATTGTAAAGTGACCTTCTATGGCAATTTGCTAGACTATTACTGTCTTTATTTACTTAAAAACATTCCAGTGTTTAATTTTAGCAATGATACTATAGTTAAAACCTGTTAGATTTCATTCTCCATTTTCTGAATAAGAAAAAATTTATGATAATTTTGTTGACATCAGAATTTTATATTTGCTATCAAACCAACCTCTTCTTGATGATATTATTAAAATGTCCCATTGAGAAGGATACTCTTTAAAAATGTCAATTTTTTTTTTCTGTATCCTGTTAATATTTACACTTCAAATTATGTCAAATAATGAAACATCACTCAATATTAATTGTGCCAATAAACTTAATAAAAAACTCACAGTCATCCTTGAAATCTTTGAATGCGGCTACATCAGCCTCATTTCCTACAATGATGCACAAAAGCTGGCCGACAGGAACACCCTTAGTTCCAGCTGGGATCAGGATCTTAGCCAGGTACCCTTCCTCCGGTGTTTCAAAACCCATTGTCGCCTTATCTGTTTCAATCTCGCAAAGCAGATCACCTGAAATTTTATTTAAGGAAAGAGATTAGAGAATAATCCTCAAATCTTGTTTATGTAATAAGTAAATTGAAATACTAACAGCTTTGATAATGAAAAGCAAAATAAAACTGTGTTCTGTAAACTGTGTTCTGTTTTTTTGTAATTAAACCCCAAGGGAGCCAGCCTTAGCACACTTATTGTTCTTTAATTGTGTCTTGAATTACCACGATTGAAAGGTTAACAAATATATGGTTAATTCACACACCTTCACTTAACTTTTCACCCTCTTTCTTCTGCCAGTTGATGATGGACCCACTTTCCATGGTCGGTGATAGAGCTGGTAAGTTCACCTTTGAGTGAGTTGGCAGGTCGGCATAATACCTTATCTGGATGGTCCATTGTGGTGCGGCCGATACTCTCTTGTTCTGAGCACTTAAAACTCTACAAAGATTAAAAAATAATTATTTATTTGGAGCTTCACTTCATTGTAGCAAAACCTTTAACATTTGCAACTCTTGTAATTTATAATTACCTGCAGCAACAATTGAATCAATGAAACTATGAACAAATGAACTTTTTACATTTATAACTACTCAACATTGTTTGAACTTTGTGTCCTTAGTTGTATTTGAACTTTGTATAGCCTAGTAATAACAGTCAAACATACTATGTGTGATTTTAATCACCAAAGTGTCCGATAGTTAGTTTATTATTACAAATGCTAGCTTATCAGTACACGCACAGAGCAGACATCTCAATGATATTTGTGGTAAAATTATAGATAAGCTGAGATGTTATATAATGTTATCTCACCCTGTATTATGCCCAAATAAAACTAATGGAGCTTCCTAAAGGTAATATTAAATTAATGAACTGATAAATTTGTTTGATTTGGTACTTATATATAAGTTGAATTATATTATCAGCTGTAGTAATAGTACAAGGTGATAATGATTATATAATATGTCCAGTTAATGACATTCATGTATAATTGAATGATAGACTGAGTGTAGATGGATTCAATTAAAAGTAAGTCAAGTATAGGACCTCTTTATTAATGTATTTCTAAACTTTTAGGCCATGATTCACTATATCTGATAAGCCACTATGTTACACAAACATTTGTATGAATTATGTACCAGATAAGTTGAATGGGCAGTTATATGAAGGTTGTGGAACAGACACAAAGACTTGAGAATGACCTAAGTGATGTATCTATTATTGTGACTATCATTACCTTAAACGTACATGTTTTTAAGTTTTAAGACATTGAAACAAGCAAAGTAATTAAAATTAAGTACAGAAATTATTTTTGACCTTTTTTTTATACAGTGCCATTATGTTATGAACTTCTACCTTTTTCTTATGAGCTTCTACAATGAAATCTAATTAGATTTTTATTTATCAGAATAACAACAGTGCAGACATAATACAAAAATGGCTAGACAATCTTATCTCCCTTGAGATAAAGAAAACTATTAATGATTTTATTTATAAAATAAAAAATGATATTGTGTAATGCTTATTCCGTTATTTATGCCAAATTATTGCCATTATTGACATTGATTTAAATACATATTCATCATAATTGGTATGAATTTAATAATTTTACTAATTATGTCTTATTAAAGGAACAATCCAGCAAGCTTTTTGTATACATATTTACCTCACTTAGACATGATATTGAGTTATTGACTCGATATTGAGTTTTTAAAGTTTTACACACTATGACTAAATACAGAATGATGCTATCTACAATAGCAGAATGTGTACACTGGGTATTTTTACTTCCTGTTTACAATAACTGAAACTTTCCACACCCTTTATTTGTGAATGAATTACTCTTCAAACTAGAAAGGATCCTTACTATCTTATGAATGTCATAAAGTTTGCAAGTTCAATGTCACCAAAGCATATTGAAATTGAGATACATATTACTTATAACCTGTTAGCCCATCCCAAAACATAACATAAACTACGCATATGACAATCTGTTATTTCTATATCTCTGGGCACGTGTACGACGTACAGCCGGCGAATTCTCATTTAATTAAATATCAATCTACAAGGTGAAAACCATTGACGTTTTGGTTATGCAACGAGTAGAACTTATTCTAATGATAACAAGTAACTTAAGTTGATGTTGGGATAAATATTTATGAATACAAAAGCCAAGATCTATTTTCGAAACAGAAATTAAACTAAAAGCCAATCAACTTACCTGTGAGAAAGTTTCCTCTTAGACAGTTCTGTGCTCATACACCTCGAGAGGTTTGACCGTATAGATTTTTTCAAGGCATCGTTTAAAACTTGGTTTCGTACAAAAATCGATCGCAACATTTTGATTTGTTTTTTGCTAAAACAACTCCGTCCAGGTGATCGGGACGGTAAAATATCCGTAAGATCGACCTTTTTCCAAGTTGTACCGGCTGTGATGCGGGTTGCCAGAGGTCGGGTCACGTTTTCCGCTTAAATTTCTAACCTAATAATTTAACATAACTCTCGGCCAGCAGGCATAAGTTTGTTTTTGTATTCCATAACAGACTAGAATAATTTTGAATTAGCACAATTGTATATACAATAAATGCAAATTATTGGTCAAATTTAAGTAAGACCGAACCACGAATTCAAGAATTCAATTCCAAAATTCCATTTCCCCTGCATAGTAGTTCAATTATTATTTTGTCACACGTTATTAATAAATTTATATTTATAAAAAATATTGAATTAGATTAAAATTATTTAAAGTTTTCAATTCAGATTCAGGCTTTATTAAACAGAAGGAGACAAATAACATTATACGCGTTTGTTAAAATTTATTACAATATGTTTCAAATATCTATGAATATGAACCGTAAGTGTAAATGACGATACTAACAATTATTTAATTGCTGTGTAATATAACTTCCTTTATATTGGCCAGGTTTTTTTAAAGCTGGTATTATCGACCTACAACTTGTGTAGGTCGTTTCAGAATGCTAAAGAACTGAAGTTTGTTTACCCTGGAAATTGAAAGTTTTGACAGCTAATAAAAAATTAACCGCATTCCATTTCAATTAATTATAATTATGTTAATGTTGTCATACAATTTAGACAAAGGTGTGATATCAATACAGACGGTAAAAATTTAATAAAATCCCTATACTTATTATACTTTTCGAGTAAAATAATTTTATAATTATACCATAATCAGAAACCTCTCTCAAGACTTACAATTATAGTTGTGGTAACATTTTGTATAAAATAACTTATTGAAAAATACTAAAAACGTTAAGGTATTTATTTTTCAATATATACATAAATATTATTAAAAAATGCTTAATCAGTGGTAACACTGGTATTGTTTATTGGCTGTGCTGGCAACACTTTGCAAATTGTCAAATTGTTTCTTCTTTTCTGTCAACCGGAGAGTTAGACAGGTTATCGAAAATGGTGAGATTCAATTTGTGAAAATTATTATAATCCATTAAAAAAACCAGTGATATATCATGTAAAAGAGATGCTAGTGAATAGTTCTAATGTGCCAAATGGATATTTTGTGCCACCGACACCTTTTACCCTAAATTTACTGAGCCAATACATAAGTGATGGCAGTGTCAGTGTTCAACCAATCTTCATGAATTATTGTAATGTTTTCAGGCCAAACGCACGAAGAAGGTTGGAATTACAGGCAAATATGGCACACGTTACGGTGCCTCCCTCCGTAAAATGGTCAAAAAAATGGAAGTCACCCAGCACGCAAAATACACTTGCTCGTTCTGTGGTAAGGTTAGTATCACGGATTTGTTTCTTTGTATTTTATTCCGAACAACCTAAAATTACTATTTCAAATAACGTGAACCCCCTGAACTTCTTATGAGTCCTTAAAAGTCATCAATCAAGATGCTATTAAGAAGTTTGGGGTTATGTTTTGTTCATTTTGAAATCATGTACTCATGTACTTACCCGGTTTTAATTTATAAACTGTTATCATCAGTATAAAACCAGTGTTTTATAATATATCCACGATTCTTTTTCAAATGCATATCAAAGAAAACCGTACAAAACTTGATTTACTGGATATTACCTCCAAAGCTTATTGCTTATTGATGTAATATCTCTTTATCAGAAATATTTACTCTCACATGAAATATTTTTCTTTCACATTTGTATTGCTTTAATTTTGCAATTTTAAAATGTATAACTGCTTTGCAAGAATAATAGTGATTTTGTTGTTTGTAAACACAACACAATAATTTCTGACTAACCATTTACAATTTTATATTATACTATGTGGGGTAGGCATCAAATAAAACAAAGTAACTTATGTATTTAATTGGTTGTGTGTTCAAACAAAATTATTTACATCGTATTACAGGATGCCATGAAGCGTTCCTGTGTTGGCATCTGGTCATGCAAGCGCTGTAAGAGGACCGTAGCTGGTGGTGCATGGGTATTCTCCACCACAGCTGCTTCTTCCTGCAGGTCCGCAGTCAGAAGATTGCGTGAGGTCAAGTAAACATCTGACATTAGCTTAAGGAAATAAACAAAAACAACCAAAATAAATTGTTTTATTCAATATCCATTTTGATTAAAAGAATATTAGTAAAAAACCTTGTAAAATATGCCCACTGAAAGTAAACAAAATACTAACTTTTAAACTTTCTCATTTTTATGTGGGTATTAATGCAAAAATAATTATCTTAATATCTTGGTAGGCTTGAAGTTTCAACCTGGTTGCACAGATCGTGGTCACAAGCAGACTCAGACAGAGTGCTCGAGACCTTGTTTATGTTGTAGATAGACAAAATAGTCCAAACAGTAATAATTTTCAGCTAAATTAGAAGTCAATCTGAGCATATTTAATTATATCATAATCAATTGAGGAGGTGCCCTTTCATTCCTTTATTAAAATAACTCTGGCTTAATTCCTTTTTTTAAATACCTCTTCATCATCATAGCTTATAAGTGCCCATTGCTGAGCAAAAGCCTCTTCTCATATGAAGAAGGTTGGATCATTAATCACCGCACTTGCTCAATGCTGGTTGGCGACACACTTATAATTAGAAATTATAAGTCCAGGTTTCCTCACGATGTTTATACATTCACCGTATGTCAGTGGTGTCTAAATAATCATAGAAAGTACATATAACTTGGAAAAAGTCACATTGGTAGGTACTTGCCAGGTTTCGATCCAACATGCTTAAGAAGCAGACTCCTTAACCTCCGGGCCACCACGACTACCTTAAATACCTAACTGGTTCTATATTATACGTACCTATTATTTTTTAGATGTATCTTTTTGACTAGTAAGGGATCAGTTCTAAAAGTGTCTATTACGTATGAACCAAAACTGTACTTCTTATGAAGTTTCATAAAACATATAGGTACATAGCTAGGGTGAGGCGAGAGTCTCATCGAAAGGGAGCGTCTCCGCGAGACCCTACAAGACCCTAATTTGATAATTTTGTTCTTAAATAGTAAATTGGTAGGTACATCCTAGGCACACTTTCAGTTTATAATCTATGCACATTTGACACATCTTTCATACAGATTTGAATATAATCGTTACATCCTTACTAAATACCTCTGTAGGTAAGTTGTGCAAAATGGCCACACTTTGAAAGAACAAACGTGAAATTGCCACTGCGCCAAACTGCAATTTCTATATCTGGGTTATTTTATCAGATTCGGTGATGATATTTTTTACATAGGTACATTATTTTAATATTTAGCTACCTACCTCTAATTTGTAATAAAAGTAGGTACTTGGAACTTAATTTTCCTATGTTTGTTTGCATTTTATTATTCCGAATATATCTTCTTTCAAATAAAAAAAAAATATTAAAATAGGTTTACGCCACAGAGCAAGTTCTTACACCGTGGTTTAAGCGATCCAAATTAATTATTAATTACCACCAAAAACATACAGTATCACCCGTCTAGTTTGTGTAGACTAGTAACCCAATTCCATAAGAGATGGCGCTATACTTAGAGTATTTTAGGCTAAAAGTGTATGTGTATAACAATGATTGTTTACAACAAAAGCAATAGGGCAATGTTAGTTTCACTTCATAAGTTTTTAGGTTTTTTATCTGTCTTTGAACACTACGAAATGTCGCCGCCATGCTAATGACGTCATGACGCTAATTAACTTTTACAGGTATATTAGGATTAAAGAATGTATACAAGATACATTTTAAATATTTACAATAACTCTTGTGGGAATAATTATGGTGGCAGACGGGTAACTACTGAACCCTACACAGAGCGTAGATACGCTGATGCTCGCTCTGGTTATTTTATAAATCTTTTCTAAAAAGCTCTGCTACCCTTTAGTAGTAGTTAGGTAATCAATAAAGTGTAAACAGGGGCGGCTCGCCTCGAGTGTTACCCGTTTAGGGGCCCGCCTTTGTTCATCTCAGTCATAGTTATCTATAGTTATTGCTTCCCATAAAAAATTGAAAATTGTTGAGTTTATAACCGCCACTACACATGACTTCCCTCTTCTAGAAAATAATGGAATCTATTATTAACTGCCAGCTCCTTCGGTACATGGAGGATCATTGCTTCTTAGTGACCGACAGTAGTTTTCCGCAAGTGTCAATTGCTGGTGATCTTTTATAGTTTACCTGACAAACCGTTGGGCACCACAGGCGAGCGAGTCCAAGGGGGAAGCGAATGGCGGTCAGTTTAGACGTACCGAAAGCCTTCAATCAGGCATAGAGCGCTTCTTTCGAAGATTCTTTTTTTGGGCTTCTCGAGAAATTGGTGATGGGTCACCAGCTTCCTTGCCACAGAAATTTTAATAATAGGTACGGTACCTTCGTTACCTTTCACGGGATCACAGGATCCCGGACCTTTGGAAGGCGTACGAGTGGTCGAAGCCAAATATGATATACATATTTATAAATTATGGTAATAATTCGACTGCACGGTTGGCGCGGTGGCTGGGCAACTGGCTGGCGCGCAACATGTCGCGGGTACGATTCCCGGACGGAACAACTCTTTGTGTGATCCCACAGGTTGTTGTTCCGGGCCTGGGTGTGATGTGCAATGTTTGAAAAAAAATTGAAAGGTATGGGTTGCAATGGACTGGTGGATATGATAACTATGGAAATACTATGGCCCCTTCCCCTGACCAATATAAAGATGCAGGGGGTGAATGGCGAATTAATGGGCCCCCGGAAACGGCCGCTAGCATGTAGCGACACGGAGGCAATACACGTTGACCTATCAGAACAATCTCGGAAGTACGGTCATTAAGATTTCTGTGTTCCATGCAGATAGGATCATAAAGGTCGTGGTCGACGGTGAATGCTCTGACTGCTTGTCTGTGAACGCTGGTGTCCCTCAAGACTGCGTGCTATCGCCCATCCTGTTCCTCCTCCATATCAATGAAATGTTGCAAATCATTGTTATGTGGATGACAGCGCTGGTGATGCCTTTTACACCGGCCGTGCGAACATTTGTCGGAAAAACGTCATCGAGAGTCGAAACATACTTGTTGTCTTGTCCAGTTCCGCGGTCATCTAGAGGGCAAAAGCTAGATGTGCTCAATAGATCGACCTTCTTACTCCTTTTTTAAAGGCCGTTTACACGTCTGTGACTCTTCTGGAGTTGTAGGTGTCCATGGGCGGCACTGACCACTTACCATCAGGTGAAAAGTCTGCTCGTTTGCCTCCTATTCCATATAAAAGTAGCATTGTCAATCGATCAGGAATTTCCAAATTTTATAGAGCTAGTTACTTGTAATGTGGCGCGCACATAATGTTACTTGAGTAATATTTTTCGGAGCAGTGGAGACAATATTTAACTTTTTTCACTTCTCCAAGCCGCTGGGAAATGCTTCTCAATCACAGCGAAGCATCTGTTAAAAGACTTTCGAGTAGGTGGTACATACCTACTCATTATGGTGCAGTAAAAGTATTGGTTGTAAATGTTGATGGGATAATATCTGCAACACTAAATTTTAATTTTGAAGACGTGATTTCGTTCGTCAAAGCTGGAAGGTAGAAATTTTAATTGTTAGTTTATGTAGGTACTACATTTGCTTCACGTAAGTACTACTTACCTATAGGGATAAGTTGACCACTATGTACTCGTATTTCAATAAAACGTACCTATGTAAATGTAACTTTTTATTTTAGAAATTATTTATATACTTACTAGCTTTTGCCCGCGACTTCGTTCACGTGGACTTCAGCTTCGTCCCGTCTAGTCTAGTAATAAGTAAGAAATACGGTAACTAAGCACTGCAGAGCCCTAATCATAGGTCTATAGGTTGCTACTGCAGTATGCTCCTATAAACTACATATAACAATCTTTTTCCTTCAGCATAAACATGCAGATTCTTCGCTTTGGAAACGTAAGCGCAAAAATGTGTTTTTTTACGACCTCACATTAGAAACCTCAAAAATTGTAGCCTATGTGTTATTCTGATGTATAAGTGGTGGTAAAGTTTCATTCAAATCCATTCAGTAGTTTTTACGTGAAAGAGTAACAAACATCCATAGGTACATCCATACCTACAAACTTTCGCCTTTATAATAGTAAGTATTTATGTAGGATTTATTTAGAATTGAGTTTTGGGGTAACGCCTACAAATTCCGGCCCGGGTGTCACCTATGCAAGCTACGCCACTGAACCTAGTGTACCTAAGTATAATTGCATTCCTGTTCCGTAGAAAAAATAGACAATCTTAGCTGTACCTTATTATCAGTTCAGGTTTATCAGCTAAGAAAACCCAAGCTCTCGGTAGATAAATAGGTATCTACTATAACCTACGTAAGTATTCAGATGGACGATATGAACATTTAATATTTTTAATCTCGTCTTATTTTCTTACGGGAGACAGATGATAAATATTAAAGTGTAAACGTTACTGAGTGTGTAGGTACCTATCTACTTAAGGGGAATGATATCAGCAAATAACAAATAACTCCACAACAAAGAAGTCTGCTAGACTTTGTAGCTTTTCGCAATTTAGATAATCCCTAAGTATTTGAGAGGTATCACCAGTCAAAGAGGCCTACACTAGGTTTCTCCTGTGTCGTGGTCTTGTCATATGCATTGTTCCGCAAATAGAATTCGCGACGCTACCCAGCAATTGCAAAGCTTGTTGTGTATAGCATAGGTACCTACAGACCTACCTCCCGCTACCAACAATAGGAGCCGTGCAGCGAGTGAAACTGCGAGGCAGGAACTGGTGTACCTAGTGTGTAAGGCTTTGACTCAAAGATTTTCAATACATGCATTATTATTTTAAAGCATTTATACCTAAATTATTTATTAACAAGCTATTATTGATTACTGTTTGTGTTATTTGTTAAAACAGGCTTGGCAAAGTCGTTTAAAAGACTATTGAAAAATAAAAACATAGACAAACAAGTAATTATTTACTGAGCTGTTTTTCTGTCCTATTAGTAATTAAAATGATCACATGTATGTAGGTGTTGCGTACAGACCTACTACCTAGGTACCTACTTATTAAAAAATAGGCAACAAATTATTAATAATTTAAGTACCTAAGTGCATCTGAAAGACTGTCATCCTATGGTCAAGAATAAAACAAATTAGAATCAAGTGGATACCATTTTTGTAAGTGGAAAATCATAAAATCTTCTCTCGCTCAGGGTGAGGCGAGAAGGATTGTCAAGCTCTTCCTGACAGAAAACCTCCCTATCTCGCCGCAATCCCGGCTGAAAGTCGGCCTTGTAGGAACTTTCTCCCGACGGGAAAATTTTGGGGGGAGAGGGAGAATCATTCCATCACTTCTCTCGCCCTAGGTGAGGCGAGAGGGTGTTTTTCCTGACAAAACCAAACCCGTTCCTTCTTCTGCGACAGACCGAGGTCGCAGTAGGTACATTATTGCGCTTGGTCGCGCCCGCAACCCTGGCTGCTTGGGTTCTCCTTGATTGACAGAATTCTTTAATAAGAATAGGTATCATAAAAGTAAAATAGAAACCACTATAAACTACAACATTAGTAGGTGACGTACCCGTACGTATTTACCTACGCGATATGTTGCGAAAAACAATGGTGTTCAGTAGTTTCAGTAGGTTTTGTTATCTACATACATATAGGTACCTACCTATCTACGTAGAAGTAGATCTAGATATGTTACAGAAATAAAGATTAAGATTTAGTTCAAAATAAAAAGGTTTTTTGACATAAGTAGGTACCTACTTATTATCAAATTAATAAAGCCGAGACGAAAATTTAAGAAGAATGCTTCAGTAGATATTATGTCTCCAGAAAACAGATATCTACTAGTATACCTACAATATGGATACCTACTACTATATATTGTTCTTTTAACGAATAATCTACAATATCAGTAGAGCTAATAATAGCCGACACTCCGACAGTCGGTGCTGAACGATTTCGTGGTTAATAAAAATCTTAATGACATAAGTAGGTACGTCATACAGTTGATTGTGACATAAATTAAATGCTAGTTTATGCTTCAATATCACATATTTTATACAATGTTAATGGACGATCCAATTATATTTTGTAGGTAGGTCGGTCTCTCTCATTTGTCTAACCTATTTTTACCTATAGGTAGTTACCGGTTGTCACGTATTTTTTGTACTAATAGTAAGGCAAAGATAAGGCAGGTGTTAAGATAAAATAAACACGTAAAAATCAACAATTTTATTTAGTTTAAATCACAAAATTAAACTATCTTCTTATGTACCTACTTATAAAAATATGCTCATTTCAAAAACATTTCATATTACTAAGTAGCACCAACAAGAATTATGTTTTTAAGTCTTCATATTTATGTACATTGGCTTTGCATAAGTATTTTATCTGTAAGTACATTATTATATATTAATAATATTTATTTAAATCAATATAAGTAGGAGATAATAATTAAACGAGTTTATGGAAAGTGTGAAGGTAGAAATATAAGAAATAAAATAGTTTATTGTAAACTAATTGAATTCCATGTCAATAATAATGACGAATGAGTTGTGCCACTAGTCAGTAAAAGAAAATAACAAAAGTACTTATGGCACAGTATATAGTAATACTGCTTAAAATAATACATGTTTAGAACAGTATCACTTTTTAAAGACATTCCTTTAGAAAATCTGATTTCCATAAATTTTAATTAAATTTTGAGCAGTTTAAGCAAATTATACAAGAATGAGATTTGTTTTAGTCTCCTAAATCACTGTCCTTATCACCTATTGCATATAGAATGCTGAATGCCACACCAAGGAGTGCAGTACCCAACAAGTCACCAAGTGCTGTAAGATAAGGTATTGCTGAGTTGTCAGGGTCCATTCCCATCTTCCACATCCATGCCACCATGTAATGACTAATTGTTAACAACAGAAACACTTGTAACAATGCAGCAGACATGTAAATTAATATAAAAGTAGGGGTTGTTGATGTGTGACCAGCTCTCAAATATCCTATTGTGTAGATAAATATCAATTGGCCCGGGATCACCATAACCAGGAGAAGCCTAGTAGTGCTTCCTAAGACGGAACCCTCTTTCTGTCCTGTGTGTAGTTGAGTAGACAGTCTAGAAGCATGTACTGCCACCATATTACCACCAATGCCATTAATAACTAGCTGGTAAACAGCAATACCTGTGTACACTGACACAGTGTGGTCTAGAATTAAACCTCCAGCACTGCTTATTACCATGGCAGACACAACTGGCACCCAACCTTCATCCAGTGCTTGCCTTGTGAATTTATTACTCCAAGCAATATAACCACACACGGGGACAAGCAGCGCGCCAACAGTGATAATAATAGATGGTAGTATAATACTTGTGCCAATAGATTTATACAGTAGTGATGCTATCCAAGACAACAGTGCCAAGGTTGTCAAATCTCCAAGGCTGGCTGCTATTGGTGTGGCAATGTTGTCAGGATTTATGTTCATCTTCTTTGATACCACAATCACCCCTATCATGATTAAACCAAGTACAAAACTGGCAGATGATGCTGTTAACACACTAGACGCACACAGTAATGATGCATGATGGATGTCAAATTGTCCTTCTGGAATCCAACCCATTGCTACAGCAGCCATAGCTGCCAGGAACCCCACCAGTACTGCCTGACACTGTATTAAACACAAGTTACCAACAACCAGGGACCCCAAACTAGTATCTAGATGACCCAAATGGGCATGAGTTGACAGTCGAGATGCTAATGTCATTTCCAAATTACCTTTTAACCCCAGGAGGGCTGGCACTAAAATGTATACTTCAGACACTTTGGTGAAAACATCCCAGTGCTGCACAACATCTAGAAGAAGGCTAGCTGCCACCATGCCAAAACCAGCCAAAAGGAATGATACAAACATTTGCACTCCAGCAACCCATGATGTTTCCTTTTCGTATTTTATGTCAGGGGGCTTTTCCTCATTTGCGATAAGCCTGTATGCATTAGCAGTCTTTGTTTCAGGATCACTTTCGGTGGTTCTCGCCATCCTAGAATTGGTCTTGTTTCTGTTCATAATTATATTATAAATCAAATTATTCTGCTATGTATGAAATGACACGTATTTATGAGTGAAAATGAAAACTTGCCTCTTTATTATAGGTACACAAGCGCAGCGAACACTGTTAAGATCCAGACTGTTGTTATAGGCAGTTCTCTTTCTTCTCGGTTTTGCACGGGTATTTGATAAGCAAAATCATTTTCTCATACCGTATCTAGCCACAACAATCATTGGTATTTTTTTATGAAAGTTCTTGTGTAAAACTGTAAAGTTTTCTATACAATCAGATACTCAGTAGAACGGCTGTCGGTAAAATGTTCTGTGTATAATTCACAGTACCGTTAATTAAATAAAAACTTATTAAGTACTACAATCGGAGATAAAAATTAATGAAAATATGTACACAGTGTTTCTACGATAGTGGATAACTGTACTTACTACTACTGTAAGCCAGTTGATAATAAATAAAATGATAACAATTTTCAATGAAGTGCCAACTGTCACTGACTTTTTAGTAAGCTCAGTGACATTTAGACTTTGTCAAAACTGTCATTGGTAAAAAAGGGATGTGCTTGTGATTCCTTGAATCGGTAAAATTGAAATCTTTAAAAATAAATATTTCAATGATTTCAAGGTGTTGTGGAGATTACTTATCCTCAAAAGTTAAGAAAAAATGAAATAAATGAAGTCCGTTTATTGACAGGTGTTCTCCAATTCCACATCACAGTTTTAGTTGATGGTAACCCCAAAATCTACGATTTGACACGGTAGAAAGTTTGACGTATACATTTTGGCTTGTAGCGATTGGCGATTGTCGATGGAATTTATTGTCGTCGACGAGTCGAATGTCGACCGCGGGCCAACATTCACTGTCGTTGTATTGTGGAGATATTAGATTGTACAGAAAATAAAACGGTATTATTTTATTTATCAATCTATGAGTTCGCTTTTGTGTGAATAAATAGTTCTGAACCGGTACTAATACAGAAATTAACATAAAACTTTGTGAAGTATTTGGTGCAGTATTCACGATTTAGATCCGGAAACCTACTTACTGTGAAATTGTGATTATATTTTAAGTCTCCGTAATTAAATTGAACTAGTTGTAAAGGACAAAGCTAGCTACTAATGGTCTTAATTTAGGTCGTGTCAAAGTTGAATTCGAGTAAAGGATCGTTGTTAGTTTTGCTTTGTTTGCTTAAAATTCGCGTGTGTTGCAGGTCGGGAAGATAACGTGACATTCGTGTGGCTGTGTTGTCATGAGGCAGTGAACTCGAGTGAATACGAACTTGACCAGTTACAATGTTCAGGAGTAAAATACGGATACATACATGCCGGATAATATTGCTCACTTCGTTGGCATGGCTACTGGTTGACGTTGTGCTCCTGGCCATGTACTCCGACTGTTTCGGTGATGGTTGGGACTGCAGCAAAAAAGCAGCTAGCGACAATGTAATTCAGGTGAGTTTGATAAACTTTTTATGTCCAGTAAAGTTCAGGGTCTGGATGTGACAGAACTGTACACATGATTTTGTTTACACATAGGCACTTTACCTGATTGAAATAAATATGTTAATCAGTATGTAATACAGTTATACTCTAGATTTAACCTAGATTACTATATTTATTTTACATATTTTGTGGGTGACAGAAAGTGTGTAAAGTTTACAATGTGAATAGTTACTTAGCAAGGGAAGGTGAATAGTGAAAGGGAATCAAATTGTTCCTAATTATACCGAATGACAACCAAATTAAAGATTATTGAGTACTTATGATGCAATTTGATTGTACAGAATATGAGATTCCAATAAGAAAAAGTAGTTTATTTAAGCTCCAATTACATAGATGGAGGCACTTAAAAAGGTCCATGATAAAAATAAAAGTGGATTAATTAATTTAGCTTCTGTATAATAATTTGTATAAAATGATTGAGAATGGGCTCATTGACCCTAACAGTTAATTAAATTAACATTTCAAAGATTCACTACATTGTACCTATGTGTTTTTTTGAAATATAAATGAAATTTAACATCATAGGTATTTTAACTTACTTATTTTACAAAGAAGTAGAGGTATAAATATATAAGTTAGGTTTCATTCATTTAAGTTTCATTACATTCAGATAAAAACCATTATTTTTGCTGAATTCAATTTGTTTTGTAATTTATGACAGACAGCTATGAAATGAATCACCATTGATTTATTAGTTTTAATATAACTAACTCATTCATAAAAGCAGTTTTCCCAATGAAATAATGAGTCTCCAAGCCTGTATTTTGTCTTACTTGTATAATCATGTGAAACTAAACAAAAATTATTTTTATAGTATCTGTTTTACAATCTGGAATTAATACACTTTTAAATGTAAACCAAATAATATTATAAATGTGCCTATAAATATTCAATTTTAATAAGCATCTCCTATCCCATTCCCATTCTTCTAAATAGCTAAACTAATATAAAAAAAATTGAAATGTGCATGTTAAAACTTAGCTTTAGTGAACACCTCCTTTCCTGATTTAAAAATCAAATACTGTCTATTTCCAAAAGGTTAATGATAAGGAAGAGTTTAGAGGCAAAAAGGCAGCAATAGCAGCTGCATTGCAAGGAAATCAGGTTGATGATGATAACAGAAACTTAGAAGCTAATGAGGCTGAACAAGAGATTGGAGAAGATGGTATCATACTGTCTCCATATCCAAAATCAAGGCTTAAGAGGTGGGAAAAAGCACCATTTGTCAAACCAGAAGCAGATGGACTACCTGGAGAAATGGGTATGTAATTTCCTATTCAATTTTAAATTGTGTTGGTAGTGGAGATTTTTATATTAATGTTTATTGAAACTTTTGATTCATATTGAAAAAAGTAACTGTCTCATAAATTATTTTATACAATGTATACTGTAAAATTTATATGTACTGCATGTCTCATGATGCAAGCACTAATTTTATTAATCTGATAAAAAAAGTATGAAGTAAGTGGTACATGTATATTCAAAATTAAATTGTGATAAAAGATAAACAGTTTATAATCAAACATTATAATTTAAGATCTATGATTTATCTATCCACTTTATTTTCAATATCTGTTTAATGTTTAAATAGTTTTCTTGTGTTCTCTCCTAAACTAACTACATACTTATTATATTGAGGTTAATTATACTGCAGTGTTTTCAAAGTTTAAATTACTAAACATGAATGAATCAATTTCTTTATGACATTTTCTAAATACCCAATATGTAGCTCTTAATTTTAAAATTTTCCTCTTAAATATATTTGCTCAAGCTCTGACACATTTGTTTTCGTTATTCATATTTGTACTCTATGGCAAAACAGTATAGTTGAAATTCTCTTCTTAACAATAACACTAACAGACACATATACATAAGGTTCAAGGTAGGTTATTTTATTATCAAGTCAATAGAAACAGTTATAAATATTAGCTACAAAAAGTAAACAGTTATAAAATGCTAATATATTCCAAATGGATAATAAATTAACGCTCTTTTTTTATTGGTATTTGGGAAAACACATTTCAAATGATTCAATGGCCCTCCATTATAACAGATTTTTATGTTGTTCTGTACTTACGTTCTCCTTCGCGAATTATTCACGCGTCTTCCGGTCTTGTAACTTGATGTTTTACATACATTTCTTTTAAATGGAGGGCTATTTATCTTATCTCCTTTTGGGAAAAAATATTATTGTGTGCAATGCATTAAAACATGAACACACGGTCCGTGACGCACATACGATTCGTCTGGTGTTGCAAGTATAAGGACTAGAACTACGCTGACCGCATGTCATTAGGCGGGCTATAAGCTTTGTTGCTGGCTACATTAGGTACGGTCGGTTGATGCTGATGCTGTGTGGGAAAATGAATATAAAACCATTGCAACTTCATCAAAATATTACTTCGTAAAAATACGCACGCATTTATATTATATGCACAGGCAGACAAACGCTGACGGGAGGTGGGAACGGAAGCACTGTTTTAGACATGTCTACATCGATCGACACTACCTATACAACTTATACGACTGACACGACCGATCCGACACTACACAAAAGATACGGCCGACATGACCGATCCGACACGACCGACACGACACGACCGATCCGACTCGACCGACCGGCATGACGGATCCGACACGACCGCTCCGATATGAAGGATGCGACACGACCGATCCGACATGACACAACCGACCAAACCGATCTGACTCAACCGAAAAGACATCTTGACCATTATTTTGTTTGAATGATTTTCAATGGTTGGCCATTACATAAACTGAGGTGGTAAAGCAGTTTTACGCTAGCTAAAACTGCAAAAGCTGGTTTTATTTTACTTTCAGTTTAAGACAAGCCTACACTAGCCGTTTTGATGATATAGCTACCTATTCCTATGCGACCATTACTTTCTATTCATAGCACAGATATGACTAAAAGATAAAGACTCCTTGACTGTAGGTGTAAAAAAAACTAAATATAATGTCTATTGTTTTATTTTTTTTATGTTCGCGTATCTTCTTTGCATGCAGAACTCGTGCTTGACTTGTGTTCAATAGCCCGTGTAGCAAAGTAAAAACACGATTTATTGTTTTAGGCCAGCTTGTTTAAAAACTATATAGTTATTGTTATTTTTTTCATTCACGTATCGAAATCCCACAATCAAGCAATTTGTATAACAATAATAAAGCTGTTACTGTATATTTAGCTGTACGCAGTTTGTAATAAAATAACAAAAGTGATAGTACTCTTTTACTTATAAATGTTTAGTATAACAATATTATAGTAAACAGCTTTTGTTAATTGAACCAACTTATTGGTGCCCTCGTCAATGGAGTACGTCGCGTGCGCTTCCAGTAGGGCATTTTATTCAATTTAAAAAAACCTCATTTCGAATTTATGCTCAATAGGGTGTATCGTTGAGTCCACAAAGAAGGGGCCGAATTTATTACTATAGATAAATTAAAATCGACACTATATCCAATAGCAAAGAGTTTACTTTTGAAACTCCAAAATAAACATATAAAAGTTTAACTTGATCAGTAGATATACAATCTGATTTCATATTCGGGTTTCATTAAGTGTTTGGAATAGATCCGATGTATGTTTTTTGGTAAGTCTAAAAAAGAGAGAAATCATATTATTTATGTTAATAGAAACATTCGTAGGAAGTAACTGTTAGATTCATACGAATTCATTTAAAATCTAGATATGCATTCTGTATACATATATAAATTTAATTATTTCCTATATTCATAGTAGTTTTCTAAACATGAAAATAATAACAGAGGCTAAAAGAGTACCGTTAATTTAAGGAGAAAAATCCCATTGTAAGCGATTTTCCTACATTGTGTAAACACTAACTACCTAATGAAAATTTTGCAGCCTGAAAACTCCTTACAATTCAAATTCTCTATCTGGAATGTTAAGTCTGATATCGTCTATATTTCTCCGTTTACATCACAGAACTTTGACCCCAGCTTTTTAAACCGTTCAACTGAACAGACAGAATAGCATAAAAAATGTCTAAGTATCTAGATCTCGTTGCCTCAAAGCCGGTTTTTCGTGACATTTTCGTATAGACGTTTTGACCTTATTTAGTCATGATTGTAGTATACAATACTGCGGTTTATGCTTTAACTATAATAATGTTATGAAACTTACTCGGTTTAAATCACGTTGAAAAAGTAGTGTGGGAGAGCCAAGCTTCGGCACGAAAGGGTCGGCTCGACCGGAGTGATACCACGGCCTCACAGAAAACCGGCGTGAAACAACCACAGCGTTATGTTTCGCCGTGTGAGTGAGGTTACGGGAGGCCCAATCTTTCCCCGCCCCCTAAAAAACAAACAACTAACTCTAAACTTGCTTGCCATTAAGCGAGACTTAAAGCTTTCATAGTTATTGTAACCATATTTTACCAAAACCAATTAAATCGACGTTTTTCGTTTTGCATTAAACATTTGATAATTCTCGACTAATTTCGTTTCGACACGAAATGGATCGTCGCTCATATAAAGCCGAATAAGTCCTTACAATCTGTTTAGGAGTTCAAAACGTTCCATTTTCAACATTGTCTGTGTCATCAGCCATATATCTGTCTTCTTCGTTTCCTATTACAGAATATTAATAGAATTTTATTTTCAGGTAAGGCAGTGAATATTCCTATAGAACAAGAGAAGCTGATGTTGGACAAATTCCAAGAGAACCAGTTCAATCTGTTAGCCAGTGACATGATCTCAGTCAACAGGTCTTTGACTGACGTCAGGTTTGAGAAGTAAGTCCTTTATCTCTTTATACTAAGTTTCTATCCATGTAATCAAGACAGCAATAAATTTTACACCCAAATCTTTGGTGAGAACGTGTCCAGTAGTTATGGAGTTTATTGCGCTCATACGGACAGACGCGAAAAAAGATTTAATTTATTTGTGAGAAATTTTATGTATCTCACTATAAATGAACTATTATGTAACGTTCTTACAATAAACTGTGAAATTATAAAGAGATTGTTAGAAAAATCAGAACCAAATGTACCGTGTGCTATAATTGTTTCTGTTGAAACTGTCCTTTCAATTTCAATTCAAGTAATTCATAGAAATCGTCAAAGAAGACAAGTTTCCACTTTTCTGTAGAAATGGTCGTAATGTTATTTTTATCTATAAGTAAAGAAGAAATTGAGTATTAACAAGAACTGTCTGAATAGTATCAATTACGCATGAATTATTTTTAAAGCAAATCGAATTCCAACTTTTTCTTATTGAATTGTTAAATAACATAACATAACTTTGATAACTTTATAACCTTACAAATAGACGATCGTAGATGAACTCGATTGATTAAATTAACAAAACAAACTCGACTAAATTCCCACTTATTTTATATGCTATTTGGAATAATTTTATCCTTGTTGTTCCACCAGCAAATGTTTACTTTATAATAGAGTGGGTATATAAATTTTCTATGTATAACAAGAAAACTAGAAACGACACACAATTGCTTTATCCTCAAATAAGGATATCTAATCCCATTTAGGTAGTGTAAGATTTACGTGAACTCCTTGAATTTTTTTGTGTCGGCTATGAGTCATACTAGCATACGAATTATTTGGTGGTAAGATGCAAAAGTGTCACTACAAGTGCGTTGCCGGTTTCTTGTTGGTTATTCATTAAGGATTTAAGGATTGGGGATCTGATGATTGACGATGGGCGGGAGGGGGTTTTGGACCTCTGTAAACCTCACTGACATGGTAAAACATAACGTAAGTGGTGCTTTACGATTTTCTGAGGTCGTGGTCGAGCCGACTCATTCGTGCCGAGGCATGTATGGCTCACCCACACTTAATTTAATACAAATTAGTAATTAGTCTAGACTCGATTGTACCTATAGTTTTTAACCAACTTCAAAAAAGGAGGTTTTAATTCGACCGCATTCATACTTTATGCTTTTTTTCTTGTCTGGTTAATGACTGAGAGATAAGATTGATCTTATCTAAGTCAATTAATTCTGTATGTTTTCGATCGTATCAATTATTTCATATCAGTATTTTTCAGAACTGACATCCTTAATTTTTAATGTAATATGTACTAAATTTTATTTCTTTCCGTCGATAAGGAGGCACACATTACAATAAATATTACCAAACTCCTTTTTATTGTATTGTATGAAATGTTTCTATATATATTTTTATGTAAGTAATGCCTGTTATATATACAAACACATTGGCGTCAATTTGTTTCAGTTATTATGTGCATTCGATATCAATATTTAAATAAATAAAGGGAAAGCAACAATTTTCTATGGCGCATGTTATAAAATATATTTCGATTGGTCGCACTTTAGTCTATGTACCTACGTTTGCGCTATTTCCTTAGTTACAATATTGCAGATACATAAAGGCTGAAGAAATGTGAAACATCAAAGAAAAGTTCTAAGAAATACAGTCCTACGAATTCTCTGATTATTACTAGTATAGTATTATGGCTTCCATTTCATAAAGTTTATATTAACAAACTGTTCGATAGCAATAACAAATCAAGACTAGAAAGATACTCGGAGATGTGTACCTATATACGTATAAAGAAGTAGTATGTACTCAATACACCTTCTAAGACAAGACAATAATTAAAAGCCGTATTTTTTTTTACAATCATACAAGGTACCACGCTTGTTAGTTCTTCAAGGTGTCTTCGTCAAAGATACGATGGTCTCGCAATTACATTATAAGAGAAATAAAAGGGAAGCCTAATATTAAGGATCAAAGCAATGTTTCGTCACGAATGGTTTGGCAACGCATTTTTTTACGCGGGTGTTCATAGGCGGCTCTGATTGCTTACCATCAGGTAATTCGTCGGCTTATTTGCTGCTGTATCCCATACTAGCTACTCTCGCGCGATTTCACCCGCTGCTAGGCTTCATTTGATCGTAGTAGCATGATGTTTTATAGCTATCTGTCAGTGAAAGACTTGGAAGTCCGACCAGCTGTTCCAAAGATGACTCCCTACATACAAACTTATAAATATGATCTCTTTAAAATATTACCACGGTAATACATATATGATAATATTACCGTGTTATTAGAATATAAAATTTGAGCGATCGTAGACTCGTAGTCGCATCCTGGACTTCTTGATCAATAACAATACCCACTAGTAGACCAATAGACTAATGTGGCAGTCTAACAGTTTATTTATTATACGCCACCTCCAATACAGTTTCGCCTTCACAAAAAATATAGATGTGCGTGCGTTTGATGGAGTGATAAATGACGCTCACTGTACTCGTGAACCGTGTTGAAACATCCACAACGTATTTTTTACACTCGTGTAAAAGTAATTCACAAGAAAGCATGCAGCTAATAAATATGTTATATTAACACTTCATTAATATGCAAAAGCAATAACTGCTTTAAAAGTATAACAAATTCGGTGATTTAACATCTCATATATGTTGTAGAAAGTACGATAAAATTTTCATACACATGTTAGTCACGGAATGGAGAACAATCGCGCGATTTATTCAACTGCCGTGTTATTTAATCTCAGTTTATGGCGGGTTACATTGACATTTGACATGGCGTGACATAGATTCGTGAATTTAAATTCGTTTGTACATAACACGTGGCTTTACACTACGGTTTAAAAAAACATGTGACAAACGTTTCCTGATAACTAACTTAAGTGACTTTTTCATAGTTGATGGTAATTCAATTTATTTTCCTCGATCTTAATAAATTAAGATCAGTCATGCGACATTTACTATTATATAAACTTGAACATAGTCTACAAAATCGCACAATATCGTCGTGTCCCACGTGACGGATCTAACGGAGACTTGTTACAGTAACCTACTATCTATAAACAACTGAATACTTCATACTTCTCTAAACAAATACGTAAATAAGGTAATCTTCAGACAGAGAGCGTTATTCATTAGCAAACAATGTTGCGCCAACATATAATTTGATGTAAATGCAACAGACGACACGTCGCCTTCGTCAAAATCAGCGATTACTAATCAATGGAGTTTCCTAATGCGCCCGCGCCGACCTTGGAAAAGTGAGGGCTCCTACACGCGATGAGTTAAAGATGTCCGCTCGTCGCGCATTGTATAAATCGGTTGCGCATAAGTACTAGCCGCGGAACCCACCTCTGTATTTTACCGCTATATCGATACTATCATCTAGTTAGAGCTGGATATTGTGAGCGCCACGTAAATCTGTTTACTCATGAATTTACCGGACAAATACTTCAACAGCAGTTCATGACGCGACTCGAAGTTGGACACGCACGATACTCTAATAACTTTATAAGTTGTGTGTGACTGTAATGTCTTGTTCTTGACCCGAGAGCGTTGACCATAAGCCTATAAATAGTTGTCATTATGCTAATTTTTACGGTGAACTTAAAATCCTATTCTATTTATCAAACTAAAGGTCAGAGTGCCCTCTTGTTTTAAGGATTTTTTCCATTATTACTGTAAACATTGACTATTTTGTGTTATAAAGAAAGTACTCGTAATATGTATAAAGTTCTAACTACTATTTAAAAGACACTGCACTTATTTAATTGCGCTTATATATTATAAAAAATCAACTGGACTTAAAACTAAGTTTATGATCTGCTGTAATTGTTTTTTTCATAGAGTTATTAAACCTGTCACTGTTAATACTGAACGGTTGTTTGAAGAAGACGTTTTATTACTGTTTTTTATTTTGTTTCAACGTTTTTCAGTTTTGTTTAACAATCTGTACGAGGTGTTTAAACACATTTGATTTGAAATGTTAATTGTAGTAATTGATTTTGTTGTTATTCCAAGTGCATTTTGGTACGAATTTCAACGATTTACATGTTCGTTTTTGTCACCAGGTGTAGAGATAAATCTTACCCTACCCTACTGCCTACGACGAGCGTGGTCATAGTGTTCCACAATGAAGCTTGGACGACACTCATTCGTACGATATGGAGTACAATCAACAGATCCCCGCGGCCACTTCTCAAGGAGATCATACTCGTTGATGACGCCAGTGAAAAGGGTAAGTGGACAGTTCGCACACATTATAATCGTCGAATGATTACAACACATAATAAGCACGTACACGTAATAGGTTTCTTAGAGGATTTTTTTTTATTATGTGCGGTTAATTTCGTGAATGTCATTCACGATTCATCGTCACCTTTTAAACTTTATCGTGTGAATAGTTTCTAATTACAGACCTTTTTAGAACCTCAATTTTGTAGGTCATTTTTAATTTTTAGTCTGTGTGCCTAGCAAATACTGCGGATGTATAGTAAAAGTGTAACGAAACCATAAAAATGCAATAAAAAGTAAATAAAGTGTTAACAAATTCACTTGTGCCGCGGAATAATCAAGTTGCCTGTTTTCGATATAAGAAGTGTGAAAGTCATTGCGATCCTTCGTCACGATAAAGAAAATACTAAAACATTTACCATTTTCATTTAGTTAATTAAATCTTTAAAACTACGCAACGGATTTTGATGCGATTTTTTTATAAACAAAGGTTTATATGTATGATAACATGAGAAAATTTGTATAAGTATTGTATTGTGTAATAAAACGACTTTTCACCAACCAGCCTTTAGTACAAAGTCCAAATGATCATGTTTATTTTGATGTGATTGTAGCAGTGATAAAAGGTCCCGCATAAAATAAAAGCGATCATAAGTACGATAGACTATCTTATCTACTTTCAATTTGCCTTTATAAGGCCGTATGTCGGAAATGTCGTGGTCATCCACGTCGACTGTACCTACATATATATAGAGAACTTTAGACTTATGTACCTATTATATAGTAATCCATTTTTTGTTGCGTGTATTATTGATGTTGAACATTTATAATGGCTCACTCGACCGCCCTGGTTTGTTCTTTATGCATATTATTGAATAAATATGTAGATTAATATAGGTACATAATTTGAATGAATTAAAGTTCACGATTGCCTTGAACGCCTCTAAGCCTGGTGTCACAATTTTTTTTTATGTGAAGACAATATTTTTTTCAAAGCGATATATTTATGCTCAGTTTATGTAACTTACAATATTATTTCTGTTCTATTCTTCCTGTCTCGTCTATGTTAGTTAAAACAGTTCAGTCGCGCCCTAAATCTGCATTTAGACAGAGTGTTCGTAGTTGCATTGCAAACTAGCTCGCGAAATTATTTAGTTCTCTCTTTGAGTTTTGAGATTTACATTAACTTGCCTTTGTTTTATGCATTATTCATTTTGTTTTATAAGTACACGAACCTACGAAAACAGTTGTGGAATTGTAGATTTACCTACGTGTTATAAGTTAGATAGGATAGCTTATATGTAAAACATAGTAAATGGTTTTAATGTGTAAGTGCTTGTATTTTAGTGTCTTCACGTGCGCAAGCGCAATGATGTACCGCGGCTCCAAACTTTTTCTTTATTTATTAACGACTTTTAAAAATGTCAGTTCTTAAAGCCTAACCTTAACTAACACACACATTATTGACTCCGGTTTGGAGCAGGATGATGAACAGGTTAGTTTTAAGTGGGCAAGAGTTTGACGCTACTTCTAGCCCCATCCAGGACGCGAGAAGTCATTTTAAGATACCTTTTCCCATCAAAACAAAACCTCCCCCCCTCAAACGTTCTCTTGTATTCTTTAAAGTATTTAAAAATGTATGAATGAATATGGCAATAATTTAGCATTTTCCTTATTGTGTTATAATATGTGTATCACTGTGTCATTGACAGAGTTCAGAGGAAAACATTCTGATAAAATAGTAACGTTACATTCATTCGGGATCTTCGTGCAGACCATTTGATTAGTCATTAATAACGCAAAAAGGTGTACTTGCATGCACTGGTGTCTTTTTAAACGGCAGTGCAATGTATCGCGAACAAAAAGCGCAATGTAGACATTGCATTATAAATTACCTAAATTTCGTACATCGTTTCTGTCGTAAGGAAGTATAGTGAGCAATATTTACGTTCTAGTATTTCGAATACATTTTACGTTAGCACAGAAGCAATAACATTTAGTTTCGCTGTTTACAGCTAGTAATATATACTGCAGTTTTTTATTCAGGCTTCAGAGAGAAATATTTTATAGATACCAACTTCGTTATAAAGCAATAAAGATGAAAATTGAAGAAAGATTCAGTTTGTAAACATTACAGTTGTCGTGAGATTAAATCCATAATATACTGCGTTACACGTCTCTTCCACTTCATATAATGAACTCTTCCGTCGTATTCCTTACGAGTGGCGCCTGTATTCAGACGGCCGTCGTCACGTTCGAGCAAAGAAAAAAAGTGTACTTAACCCACTATGTTTATGTATGCAGATTATCATGAAATGAGAGTCTGGTATTCTCTAATCTCGTGAAAGAAAACGCGTCATAATCTATATATACTTACTTAATATTAAACTGAAGAGTTTGTTGTTTGTTTTCACGCGCTAATTTCAGAAATACGCTTGTTCGATTTGAGCAATTCTTTTTGTGTTGGGTAGTTAATTTATTGAGAAAGGCTATATGTGTGCTATAAAACATCAAACTTGCGCAAAAAGGTCCAACAGCGTGTCAAAACGTGCCGGTATGGCTAGTAAATAGGTATAATGATGCCATGCAGAATACCCCTGCCGTCCAAGGGTTTGCTTCACCTATCTGACAATTTAATATTAGGTGTTTTCTAGGCAATTTAAGTTCGTATGTTTCAATAGCTCCCGCTCGCGGCTTTGCCCGCATGGTATGTTGATAAAAATCTATGTTTTAATCCAGGCAGGGTATCATCTATCTGCATACCAAATTTCAACCAAATCGGTCTAGCCGTTTTTATGTAAAAAAAGAAACAAACATACATACATATATTTTTGTACATGGGAGTATATACATTACATTACATATTTAATACCTTCCTTTATTACATTTTGTTTACTGTCTAAACCCTTGATTTATTTAAATATGACGTTTACCTGCTGTGTACAGTACTGCCAACCATTTTAGGGATCGAGATCGAGTTCTTAAGGTACCTTGATAACTAGCTGCATGCTTTAAATTATTGAAAAAAAAAATGATATTTGAATTGAGAACGTTCTTTTAGAAGTTAGTTAAAACCTGTAACGATCACAGATCGCATTACATGATAGTTATGCAAAATAGTTCTAGATTCTCCACTTTCAGTGTGGCTAGATGTTAAACTGGTTACAACATACATTTCATATGAAAATGTGAAAGTGAATATGTCTGTGTATTCATAAAAACTAGGTGCTAATGTACCTATCTATGTTAGTTTTACTTATCTGGAAGTATGTGGGCAGGTTTTTAACATTTTTCAACGACAATTTAGGTGAAAACGTGTATAAAAATCAACCAATTAAATAGTTATTTATAAACGTTAAATTATGGTTTCTCAACTATGAAGGTCTACCTGTGATGACTACACGATGCTGATTTCGAAAAGATAACAGCATTTAAACAGACAAGTGTTTTGTCTACACTTTTTAGCACTCTTCAGACTTGAACTATGATTGTCCTAATTGACCTCATAATGACAATCCAACATAAACCAAGTATGTCTATGAAAAGAGATATACAAATACACATGTATACAAAGGAACAAGAAGTATTTTTCTTATAAGTTGGACTGTGAACAGTGCATACCGTATCTTTAACATACGTTATACGCTGAACATGTTTTTTTTTTCGTTGGAGGCACTCCTCCCGGTGTATTATGAAATTACTTACTTATACAAAAATACGAAACTACTCCCGCCCTAGGTCAGGGGAGAGTAAGTGTCAAACTCCTACTGAAAAAAAAACCACCCTGTTCATTTTCTGCTCCGGCCGGGGCTGCGGTACATTATAGGGATTGCGCTTGCACCAGCAACCCAGGATTGAACATCAGCCCATCTGTAGTGTAACTAAAAACATCTACAAATTGTTCTTAGACTCATCTAGATATGTTGAAAATTTATATATGAACATAACTCATGATTTAATTATTATTTTTTTCTATTACCAGAACACTTAGGAAAGAAACTGGAGGACTACATCAAGACGTTGCCGGTGCCGACACATTTGTTCCGCACAGAGAACAGGTCGGGTCTCATCCGAGCACGTCTACTGGGCGCCAAACATGTCAAGGGTGACGTCATCACCTTCCTCGACGCCCATTGCGAATGTACAGGTAAATATGATTCATTTTTTTTACATTGTTTTGCTACCGGTGAAGAGGTTTTAAAAGGACTTGGTTTATTTAAGGGTTTTAAAATGTGTACATTCAACTCAATCCCAATATTTACAATCCCTATATCATAAAAACTTTATACCCAAAAGGCTGTCAACGCACTTGCCAAAGTTGTAAGTGTTCATGGAAAGTGCTGATTGCTTACCATCAGGTAACCCGGTGCCATTAAAAAGTGACATCGTTTGCCGCCTAATCACAAAAAATATGTCTCAAAACCGCCGAATGCCATTTTTGCGTTTAATAACAACTGATAAGCTAATAAACATTGTAGCGTTAGTACTCAATACTCAATATTTATTGCAATCCACAATGTGAACTTAGGTGGTAGGGTACATAAGGGTTTACTTATATTAGTTTAAGAGCATTGTGGGCCCTGTCGGGCATAACAATATTTTTTTTTTTAAATTTTTTTCCAAACCCAACCAAAGATTCAATCGGCGAGCTACACGATAATCAAGTTGAAAAGAAATATCAGTTCCTTCTCCTATAATTCTAAAAGCATTTCGCAGTAATACTAGCGCCAAGCAGGTTCCGCTATTAATGAATTGCTGAGCCCTTTTACTTTGCTCTTAGATCAAGAAAAAACAGGTTCAAGCACCAAGTGTATATTAATTTACCGTGTCAACCTCCTACGATAGCGGAGAAGTAAACAGCTGATTAAAACCTTGGTTGGGTTGATAAGTCAATAATGCTTTTGGTCCTTTGATACGCGTTCAGTCGTACATAAGTAATTATTTTAAATTGGCCAGTAGTGTGTGTAACTAGCATCAATGATTAATTTCTTTCGAACCATAAACTAATTAAATTTTATTTATCCTAATGTTAGGAAGAAAACATTAGTAGTTAATATGTGACATAATAATATAATTATGATATGTCACTTATTGTCATAGACATCAGGACCCACATATCTACTTACCCAGTGTCTAATAAACGTACCATGTATTTTGTCTGCCAGTATAAATAATATACTCTTAATGAATTCCCGTAAAATAGGTAAATGGTTTTTTATGGTTTCACAATTTTCAAGGCGAGGATGTGAAAGTTAAAATAAATGCTTTATTGATGTGTCAATAGAATATATAGGATATAATAATATGTTTTTTTATATAAAGTGTTCATAATACTCATTTTCGATAAACGTATTGTTGAAACCGGAAAATGATACAATTAGTTGAATGCCTTCACGTTTATAAATATAGTGCACTTATTTAACTGGTAACAAAAAGTTTTCATTCATCTTTATGTCAATACAGAAATGATTCGATTTTTAAAATTTACATTACAATATTTGAATCGATTTTTTTTACTATATTGTTCAAATCGAAAAGAACATTACCGTTCGAAATTTAAACAGCTCGTTCGTAATTTTTGTAGTGTACAATAGAAACATCTTGTCTTATATTAATTTATTGCAAAGCGGTATCTCTACGCAGATGATTTAAATGCATTGTTCATCGAACTAGATACGATGCTGATTCAAAATTCACGCAACCATGACGTAACCGTTATTGGTATCCCATATTTTTATCCGAGTCATTAGCTTCTTATGGCCGTACGTACGGCTAGATCTGGCGAACACAATTTTATGCTTCTATTCTCGATAAGTGCTCGTAAATGTTTTGTTTAAAAGCGTCCTTAACGAATTTATGTTTTAACTGACTGATAGACAGACCATTCTATATTTTATATAATTATGTGCCTCTAGCTAGTTTAAATCTTTAGTCTATAGGAATATTATAAAGAGGTAAAATTTGTAATTTGTAAGTTTTTATGTAGGGGATAATCTTTGGGACCGCTGCTCGGATTTCTTCTTTCACTGATATATAGTTACAATGTTCCTAAGTGCTATAGAATATAAAACCTCACGCTTTTCTTATTCTTACGATCAAATAAATGGAGCTGAGCAGCGGATGAAACCGCGCGAGAGTAGGTAGTTACAAATAAGAAAGAGCAAGAATTAACATCTCTGTACAAATCGGGAAATATCAATAAATGTTAAACATTGTGAAAGTCTCAGCAAGATCAATTCCATTTCCGTAACTTTCTTTCGTTTCACGATTGACTTAGACCTTTAAAGTTAGATGAAATAGCTATGTATTAGTCATGATTTCAGTACATTGTAAAGAATAAAATGTATTAACGACGCTAACAATAGCTAGCACGTTGTGGAATAGACAATGGATTTTCAGTTTTCACATAACACACAGTATCACGTCTGAATGAGTCTACATAGATTTAACACATCTATTTGTGGCTAGGTTTTTGTAATATCGAAGAGTTATTTAGTTTATTGAGTTGTTTCACTGACATACTTAAAAATTATTGTAGGTATGCCATTATGGCGGGTCATAGTTATATAAAATCTTTTGCTTACCTATGTACCACAATAAAGGATTTTGTATTTGTATGTGTATTTTAATTACATATAGGTTATTTGGGAAAACTAAATACAAACAGCTATGTCAATTTTTTTATGGGAATAATCCCTTAAAATCCCATGATGTCCTATTTAATTTTTTATGCTTTGTCTTTATTTTTATATATTTACATATGAAAGGTCGACAAACGAGCATACGTATTATTTCATGGTAAGCAATCGCCGCTGCCAATGGGCACAATAAAATGGGCAACATCAGAGAAATTACGAGTGCGTTGTTTCAGGGATTAGGGTTTTGAAGATGTAGATAAGTGAGGGATTGGGGGAAGGGCAGAAGAATTTGGTTCTCCAGAAACCTCAGTCACACGGCGAAACACTATGCTGTTGCTATTTCATGTTCTTTGTGAGGCCGCGGTATCAATCTGGCATGAAGCATGGCTCTCCTGCGCCTATTTATTGGTTCTTCACAGCCTAACAAAATTAAATGATTACAACAAAAGCAGATATTTAATTCATTCCAATTTTGAGGAACACGTGAAAAAGTGTAATTAAATTACAGAAGTGTTGCTACATTTATAAAGGAAACAGCTATCATGTCGATGATTTTAATGTATAGTAGGTACATAATCATATAATTATCGAGTGAATGATGATTACACGTTAATGTTTGGTCATTTAGTTCTGATTACTAATTTTTTTGTGTTTGTAGAGGGCTGGCTGGAACCGCTGTTGGCGCGTATCGTGGAGGACAGGACGACAGTGGTATGCCCCATCATCGACGTTATATCTGACACCACCTTCGAGTACATACAGGCTTCCGACATGACGTGGGGAGGATTCAACTGGAAACTTAACTTTAGATGGTATGTAAGAATAATTAAGGTGCATTTTTATTTTAATCCATCAAAGTGAATTTATCACATTTCGACGATGTTCCGATATAGATACCTTTAGATGTTATATTGTTACCCAGTGAAATAATTAGTGAAACAAATTTCATTAGTTTACACTTTCCATTAGTCTTGTTATCAAACAAAACAGTTTACTTTGAAATTAAAACGATTAATAAGCAATAACTAAAGTATATCACTAAATACGTGTATAACAAGGTACGTTTTCACGGTTATTATAACAAGCGTTACTCTTACATGTGTAACTAAATCTCGTGTTTAGTGTTAGTTGGCTGAAATTGCTTTAGGCGCGTGCGCATGTACGTAGTCGTAGGCAGTACGAGTCACAGGCGTACGTGGTATTGTTGTTGCAGGTTACTGCGATTACATAACAGCTGCGTCCCATTGTTTTCCTTTCCGACGGTCGCGGTAGAAACCACTTTGATTCACAACACACATTAATAATTTCACGCGTCATATCGCACGTGGTAGCCAATATGTAATTGATTCGACTGTATTCAAGAAAAATTGGTGTAAACCTTATCGTTTGCTCTAAAAATTTCGATTAGTTTTACTATGTGGATGCGGAAATAACGTTCGAATGGACTAATTAAAAACGATTAGTATATTATGGGACGAAAGGACCAAGTTTCTCATTGTTAGTAATTAGCTGTTTAGTATATATGATTTAGATTATTTATATGTCGCAGGGATATGATAAAATCAGGGAATTGGCCAAATCCCTAAGGGATTTGATCAAATCACGGAGGATGTTAAAATAACAACAAGTTTTTATCATTTCCCTAATCAAATCGTGTATTCGTGTGTAGTGATTTGACAAATCTCACTAAAGAAATCTAGTGATTTGAGCAAATCCATAAATTGGTTCAGTGAAATGACAAAAATACCTTTTGTGATATTTTTAAGGTTTATTTTGTAAGATTACCTACATAATTATAATAATCAGGTGTATCACAATGCAATACTAATCTCTAAAATCACCACTAGAACATTATTAATTGAAAAAAGAGTAACAAAAAAAAAAAAAATATAAGTAGAATAACTTAACGTATCATACGTTAAGTTTAAGTTAAGGCGCGGTCACTGACAAGCAAGTGCGAGCGCGACGTTTAAATAGGTCGGCAAACGAGCAGACGGATTACCTTTTTTGACTTCTCCCGCCCAGGGCCGGGCAGGAGGGAGTGTCAGACTCTTACTGACTAAAAACCCCCTTGTTCCTTCTCCTGCTCTATGCCGAGGTCGCGGTGCCTCATTGCGCTTATCCCGCAACCCCGGCTAAACATCAGCCCTTTAGGGCCCCGTCTGTGGTGGTCTAATGGCTCTTTGAGGCGCGCGCGGAACGCTACGCGCCGTACGCTCGGGCCTGGTTCTGGTCGGGCGGCGAGCTGCCCTTACTCGCCGACCGCAGGCCCGTGCTTACGGTGGCCGGAGATCGTCCCTTGATCCTCGACGCCCGTAGTGTCGCCAGTTGCGGCTGCTGGGGCGTGAGGAGGAGGATTGCTCCCTCACGCGGGCCGCCTCTCTCTTTGCGAGCATGACTGCTTTACAAAAGGAGGAGACGGCGTCCCAGTTCCTCTCACTCCGCACCATGGCCTCGACTAAGGCCGGGCGCGAGAGGTCGCCGCCGCCGATCACTTCCCTGAGGATACGGCGGTGCTCAGCCCAGGCAGGGCATACCGCTACCGTATGCTCCACCGTATCCTCTAGGTAGTCCTCACAATGACGACACTCGGGCGTTTCCTACCGCTGGATTCGAGACGGATTACCTGATGGTAAGCAATCAGCAAGCAACGGAGGAGTTACGAGTGCGTTGCCGACAATTTAGGGATTAGGGAATTGGAGATTTAGGGATTGAGGAGGGATTGGGGGAGGGGAAGGATTGGGCCTCCGGTAACCTCACTCACACGGCGAAACACAACGCTGTGGTTGTTTCACGCCGGTGTTCTGTGAGGCCGTGGTATCACTCTGGTCGAGCCGACCCATTCGAGCCGAAGCATGGCTCTCCCACACTTCGTAAACAAGAACTGGACATGTTTTATTATCATTTCACTAAATAAATTTAGTGATTTGTTCAAATCACTAGATTTGCTTAGGGAAATGATAAAAACGTGTTGTTATTTTAACATCCTCCGTGATTTGATCAAATCCCTTAGGGATTTGGCCCTGATTTTATCATATCCCTGCGACATATATACAGATACATTTACATAGATAAATATGCTTCAGTTGCCTACAGCAGCAGGAATAAATAAAGTAAAAAATAATTAATTTGCATCGATTAAAAAATGTAGTTTTGTAGTCAAATCGAATTGTGTCATTAGTAATTAATGAAACGTAATCGTTTTCATGCGCCGTTTGCCAATCATAATTCGAAAACTCAAGCTCTTTTATACTTATATACATACTTACTTTGTTTTATAAATAACTTGCTATTATTACAGTTAGTGTTCTTTTAGGCAGGACATGTACGGTATAATTATGGCATACAGTAACTCCATTGGTGTGTTCGCTATATGAATATTTTAAGACTTTTTAAATTATAAGTTAAGTGTGGGAGAGCTATGCTAAAGTTTGGAAGAGCCATGCTTCGGCATGAATGGGTCGGCTCGTCTGGAGTGATACTACGGCCTCACAGAAAACCGGCGTGAAGTTACCACAGCGTTGCGTTTCGCCGTGTGAGTGAGGTTACCGGAGGCCCAATCCTTCCCCTCCCCCAATCCCTCCTTAATCCCTAATCCCTAAAAGGTCGGCAACGCACTCGTAACTCCTCCGTTGCTTGATATTTATTGATACCGCGGCCTCACAAAGGACATGAAATAGCAACAGCATAGTGTTTCGCCGTGTGACTGAGGTTTCCGTAGAACCTAATCCTTCTGCCCCTCCCCCAATCCCTCACTTCTCTACATCTTCAAAATCCTAATCCACGAAACAACGCACTCGTAACTTCTCTGATGGTGCCCATGAGCAGATTACTTACCATCAGGTAATCCGTCTAGGCTCGTTTGCCGACCTATCATATAAAAAAAAATTATAAAGTTGACGAAAGCTTGTGGAAAAACTATATGTGCACTTAACCTAAGTGTGGGAGAGCCATGCTTCGGCACGAATGAGACGGCTCGACTGGAGTGATATTACTCCGTGGCCGTGGCTCATAGAAAACCCGCGTAAAACAACTAGCGTTGTGTATCCCTCCCGTCCCCAATCCTTAAATCTCTAAATGCCAAATCTCCAAAAGATCGGCAACGCACTCGTATTACTCCTCTGTTGTTGATAATGAAAAATAAAGTAATTAAAATAAAAATATTAAAAAAATAGTAAAATAGTAATTTTCAATCAATATTCACGGGGGCGGGGATCCTAGTCCTCGCCCCCGTGACTGAAGCGCTCCAAATCAAATTGTGTTTGGCAACATCTAGCTTTGTTTCAATTTAAAAAAATAAATTATTCGCAGATAATAAAGAGGTTGTATCAGTCGACGATACGACACACATAGGAACTTCTTCAATGCTAAACTAGTTAGTTTGTCTATTCCTGCCGGAGGCTCTACATGGGGGTCGTACGGTCGATGGCGTTATATGCCGCGCCAGTATGGGCGGACGCCTTGACGGCCCGTAACATCGCCGCGCTGCGAAGGCCACAGCGCGCGATGGCCGTCACGATAATAAGGGGATACCGCACGATCTCCTTTGAGGCAGCGAGCCTCCTAGCCGGATCCCCGCCCTGGGACCTCGACGCAAAACTCCTCGCGTCGCTCTATTGGTGGCGCGTGGAAGCAGTCGAGCGAGGCGAACGCCTGGTGCCTCGACAGGTTGAGGCACGCAGGGCGGAACTCCGTCAGGCCTTAGTGGCGGAGTGGCAGACGCGTTTAGCGCAACCCACGGCGGGGCACGCCGCTATAGCGGCTGTAAGGCCCTTTCTAGAGGAGTGGCTCAATAGGAGCCACGGCGCCCTCAGTTTCCGGCTGACGCAGGTGCTTACTAGACACGGGTGTTTAGGGAAGTACCTGTGTCGCATAGGTCGGGAGCCGACGTCTCAGTGCCACCATTGTGGGGATTGCCGCGATGATACGGCGCTGCATACCTTGGTGGAGTGCCCAGCTTGGGCCGAAGCCGTAGGTGCTGCGGGAAATCTCTCGCTTCCGGCTGTAGTGTCTACTATGGTCGGGAGCGAGTCAGGGTGGAGTGCCGTCGCTACCTTCTGCGAGGCCGTGATGCTCGCAAAGGAGGCGGCGGAAAGGGAGAGAGAGGCTGCCTCCTCTCTCCCCTCCCGCAGCAGATGCACTAGACGTCGTAGGGTGGCCGACCTACGGCCACCGTAGTGTGCGGCCTGCGGACGACAGACTCGGGGCGTCTTGTCGTCCGACCAGCAGCAGGCCTCGAGGCGGCGGCGCCGTGTTCCGCGCGCGCCTCCTAATGGAGTCCTGCGGTCGGGGTGACGGCCGCGACAGTACCCTACGCCCCGCAAAAAAAAAAAAAAAAAATTGTTAGTTTGTCTATACATTGTTTCATGCATGCAACTGAAATGGCGTAACTCGTCGCGTAAATTAAAAATTATTAAAAATAGGTATCGTAAATTAAAAAGTATTTTTAAGTAATATCAATAAATAGGCAATATTGATAAAAGTTATGACTTTTAAGTACATAAATTAATTTCGATTCTAAGATTTCAGTGTAATCAATTAGATACAGAATACATGGCACAAGGAAATAATGAATATTTTACAAATACAAATGAACCAATTTGAAACGCTTTATCAATTAGATAAGGTAACTAAGTACTTATTAATTTATCTAAATTATATTTAATTTGTACTCAGGTATCGAGTGCCAGAACGTGAGATGGCGCGGCGAGGGGGTGATCGCACGGCACCGCTGCGTACCCCCACAATGGCGGGGGGACTGTTCGCCATCGACAAGGACTACTTCTACCAGATCGGTTCCTACGACCAGGGAATGGACATTTGGGGAGGAGAAAACCTCGAAATGAGCTTCAGGGTAAACCACTTATATAGAGCGATAGGAAGGACAAACAATCGTAGAATAGTACTTAGTCTATTAGTTGGCTGCGAATCGGCTTGCGTCTCGCTATGCGCTGCCCACTATCTTACTACATCAATATTCAGTGTGATTCAATCATACCTATGTAATTTGAGCCAATATGGTAAGTTGATGAAACACGTTTTTCCAATATTTAAATAAACTGGCCTTAGTTGATTAATACTGCAGATGATTATGACACGCAGTATATGTGGAAAACGTTTTTCTTTTAAAAGTTAGTCATTGAAGGCAAAAAGAATACCTTCACGACAAGAGTTAGTGATGGCCAAAAAATTGTTTGAGCAACCGCTGTGTGTGGAGTTGCGCAATTTGCACTATGGTCTTTTGCGCAGTAGTGAGACAGATTGGTCTTCACGATTGAGAGGGGGTAGAGCGGTTTTTTCCGTGAGGGGAAAATCATCAAATGCTAGTCTGATACTGGCTAGGGTCGGGCGGGAAGGGAGTGTCAGACTCTTACTGACTAAAAAACCCCCCCGTTCCATCTCCCATTCTGGGCCGAGGCCGCGGTGCCTCGTTGCGGTTGCCCCGCAACCCCGGCTGAGGGGGTAGAGTAGTGTGGTGTTGAATGAGTACATGTTGTGGTGGGCCGAAGGTATGGCAGTGCGGCGGGCGGCTGGAGATCGTGCCGTGTTCGCACGTGGGCCACGTGTTCCGCGACAAGTCTCCGTACTCGTTCCCCGGCGGCGTGCAGAATGTCGTCCTCCACAACGCGGCCCGCGTCGCCGAAGTCTGGATGGACGAGTGGGGAGAATTCTATTACGCCATGAACCCAGGTTCGAGTCTGGATCTATGTGCCGACACTACTAACATTTTGCTATTTTTTTTTAAACCAAATAATCACTCCTCCATTTCTGTTTAGCCGTATGTGAACGAAATTGTCTTATATTTTGTTTTTGTATTGTTTTCGATTTCAAGGGATATAAACAATCAATCGAAACTAGTGTAAAGAATATGTTTATAATAATCTACAACTGAACAGAATAAGTTCACATGTGGCTCAAACAGTTGACCTACAATTTTGTTCTAAGATTCAACTTATCACAGTAGTACTCTAATTATAACTCTATGTTGTTTCTCTATTGATATAGAGTAATTGATTTTAATTACTTTGACTCTAAAAATAAAGTATACATTCAAGTGGATACACAGAATGTATGGTGATTTCTCTTGAGTTCAAAAGTTACAATGAATATAGCAAAATGCTAGGAGTGGAGGTACAAATGAAGAAAGTTTTGTTGTGGCTTGGGATATAAAACTAACAAAGTAAAGTTTGATACATTACATCATTAACATTTTGATAATATTATCCAGTAAAGCTTAACATTAACCCCATTGCGGCTGCATTCATGTCTGGGCATGTCATTTTACTTTCCATTTCATTTTGCTTCATCGCTTTTTTATAATCTATGTGTTTTCCCGCTCTATATGTCTGTTTATTTTTTCTTATTACGTAGCAGGATTAAATTACTGTTTGGAATCATGGTTTTTAATCACATTCAGATTAATTATGTTCTCTCTTCTAGTTGATTTAATCCTGTAACACATTTTTTACTTCTGTTCGCTGTTCTATTTTTCTTTCGATATTTTATTTTAATTTCTGCTTCTTCTTAATGCAGAAGCAATGAGTTTTGATAAAATAATATTTCCAATCAATATTAGAATTAACCACAGCAATCCTTTTTAGACGGGTAGCGATGAATGATATTTGTAATAACTAGTATTTATCTATCAATGGTACCAACCCGTAGCTATTAACGTTACTGAATACGCGAAGTAAATATACGTGTACACTATTTGTTGAAACCTTGACGATAAAAATTAATTGAGACCAACTGACCAAATAATAAGGTACCGTGGAGTTACCTACATTTATTAATTTTCTGCGTAATTACTACATTATTTTCAATCTTTATTCGTTAACATCATTAGCCTGTAGCTTCCCCATTACTAGGTAAAAGATTTTTCGCAACACGAGAAAGAAAGGTTAATAATCACCTAACTTACTCAAGATGGATTGATTTTAAACTTACAATTTGGAATTAAGACCATGTTTCTTTACAATATTTTCCTAGACGGTGATGTAAACAAACTTTTGGTACTATAAATAGATACAATAGAATTGGATACTGGTCCTTTGTCTCACAATTTTCTGGTCCTTTAGTTCGAAGTTGGCATTTAATAACATATTCTATTAATATAAATGAGTATCATTTACCGCAACCCGGCTATCATGGCTTAATAGAATTATGTGTTATTCCGATAACAATTATGTATTTAATAATACAATTAATGCAATTGCAGCGGAAGATATAGATTAACATATCGGTTCCTGTTTAGTTATTTACAAAACCTATATATGTGTATTGTGATTAATAATAATACCAGGTTGTTGTTAAAATTCCAGAAATGGGTATGTACGAAACTACTCGAGATGTGTTTTATGCATTTATGTAATGGGCTACATATTCCTTCTATTAGTTTAGATGAACAGGTCGGACATTTGACCTGTCTAATTACTTCTATACTACCTACACTAAATCTTTGTGTAGTCTATTATTATTCGGGATTATTATTGTTTCCATTGTTATTGAAGTTTAACACGAACAGACTCGTGTTCTCATAACAACCCTCATTTTCGGTAAATTTACCAACAATTTCTGGAAGATTAACGTGCTTCTGTATTTAGTAGTTGATTAATATTTTTATTGTGATCGTTAAATTACTAATATGTGTGCTAACTTTGAACATTCATTATAACGTGTGATATTAACTTTGTCGCTTGCAATAATTTGAAGATTTTTTTATATAATTTTAATTCTTATTATTGCATGTGACTGTCGTGTGTTCGTCTCAGACTTGCAGGGAACGTCACCTGTGTGTATTGGAAAACTAGTTGTATTTAATTATTGATCAATGGTGTGACGTGGCCCTAGCAGGTGTGAAATGTTAAATAACATCGGATAAGTAGCCATGATGAGTGGATTTTAAATTCTATGTCTTTAGTCATTCGGTCTACTTTTGCTCGTCTTCAATTAATCGTAAAGAGTATTTGTATTTTGCGTTTTTACCAAATTAAGTCCGATATCGAGTTGCTATGCCAATAACTTCAATGGCGCTTGAGGAAAAACTTCAAATTGGTTAAACACAAGTGCATGTAATGTTTGTCGTTCATTAAGATCTGCAGAACAATGGTACGTCATATTTTTTTATCGGAAATGCTGTACAATTAGTCCAAGTGAACAATGGCTTACATTTGTAAAGCAGTGAACGTTCTTCATTCACGATATTGAATTTCTGTTTCTGGATGGTCTTATAATGTAAATAAAACCAATGGTGCAAATTCAATGTGTTAGAGTAAGAGAAATTAAGACGATAATTATTTATAATCAAGAATCAGAAGACACAAAAGTTTACCGATATTTGTTGATTGCTTCTTGGTCCCTTCGATTACCGCCATTAGTTACATTTTTTATTACTTCAGAATATAATCCAAAGTTTATTTGCGTAATTTTTTTTTTAATTTTCATAATAATTATTCGACTGGATTTACCGTGAGACATTTAATACTTAACTGAAAAAACACTATTCGCGTGATTTTTCGAGAAATTCTCTACTAGTTTCAAGTCATACCGGGACTCTTATTCAAGAAAAGCATGCGTGGCATGGTGTAGGGTCTTCATGCTGCAGCTGGCAGTTTTTCTCGTTTATCAAACAACATCTCGTACAGTAATGACATTGGCGTATCGAAGGACCAAGTTCATGATTGGAATTGTCAATCGTCATGGCTACTTCGCTTGGGTACATAACGTGGGTGGTGGGGCGGTCCGCGCTAGGTGTGGATGTGCGGCGGGCGGTTGGAGATCGCCCCGTGCTCTCACGTCGGCCACGTGTTCCGCAAGACCACGCCCTACTCCTTCCCCGGCGGCACGGGCCGCGTCGTCAACCACAACAACGCGCGCCTCGCTGAGGTCTGGCTCGACGACTGGAAGCATTTCTACTACAATATTAACCCCGGTACTTTTGCAACCACCTGCCCTCTATTTAGTCTAGTTCTGTGTAGGTATAGTCAACCTTGACTTTGTAAGGATTTCGAACGTGTAACGAACTACTGAGGGGAACCTGTAACTTGTAAAGTATTCCTAAACAATACCTCATTTAGTTCGATGTTGCATAGTATGTTTTTTTTATATGTATGGCGGCAAACGAACATTATAATATGCATTATCTTATACTAGCAACCACAGAAGAGTTATGAGTGCCATTTGGGGAATAGGGTCTCTAAATCTCATTAGGTTTAGAGATTGGGGAGGGATGGAAGGGAGTTAGCGATTGGGCCTCCGGTAACCTTACAGGGCGTTGTTTCGTATGTGGCCGCTGTTGTTGTTTCACGGCAATTTTCTACCAGGCCTTGCTATCACTCCTGTCGACTGCCCATTCGTGCCGGAACTTGGACCTCGCATATATAAATTAAAATAATTATCATTGTGGGACTGAGACAAGTCATTGTGGTTCTTTTGGATTCTTATTAATAATAAATTTTATCCTGTTTTATGCAAAATTTTAACAAATAATTAATATATAAATAAAATGAATCATCGTGAGGCAAGCTAATCTGAAGACGGGCTTCATTATAACCTTTTAGGAATGCAAGAATTAGTGTCAACACGTTTTGATTAAGTAGGTAATCTTACAATATTTTTTGCATGTAGCTTTTGTTAGAAAATGTTGCCGTTCCCCGAAGATTTCAAGGTTGACTTAATAATAATAATTCTAATGAAAATATATTAATTATCAGGCAAACGTTATGTATGCTTAATTTTAAGGAAGTAAATAAATGTAGCCTTGTATTTTTAAGCGTGCTACACTTATTTTATTTCCTTTTTCTTGACTAAATTCAGAACAGGTGGCTAAGCGATAAGCGTATGTTTAAGCGGTGTGTTTGATAACGGGACAAATAATTGGAGGAAAAATGTTAAAGTTTTTTAAATCAATTTTAAATGTTTCGTGTCCGTCCTTATGTAGCTAAAATAATATACAGGGTTAATGGCGTACACAAGTTAATGTTTTTACAGTGCTACTCATTTATAACTTATTAATCCTGTATATGTTTTTTATTGCAAAACTTATTTATGTCTCGTTCTGACACGTAAGTAAGTGTTGCCAGCATGTCTCTAACAAAATTAACCAGTCATTAACATTTTGGTCGCATACATTCATTTGTATTTTACGTCATTGTTATTTGGTAAAGTATTCAATTCATGCTTCAAACTAACAGTAGTGTTGCCATTACGATAAAAGTCATTTACAACTTTTTTTGTGATTCTAAGCGGTTCAATTAATTGTTACTTCCTCTGGGGTTGCCATAGTGCTTGATTGAAACTTTAATTCTTTTTTAATATTTTTTGAAGCACCAATGAAATATAAAGATAATAAATCAGTGGGCCCCGTCGAGACTTATGTTTCAATTGGTAAAGATAACGTAATAACAGATGGTTCGGAAGACGTTTATGCTAATACAGATCCTCTGAACGTTTTTTATACGAGAAACGAAGAAAGTACGTAAGAACCGACCTTAGTATTGTTTTACATGTGTAGTATGTATGTATAGAGTGTTAGTATGTCGTGTGGTAATGTATTGCATGGTGGTATGAGCAGGCGCACTGAACGTGCCCGTCGGTGACGTCAGCGAGCGCAAGGCGCTGCGCGAGCGCCTCAAGTGCAAGAGCTTCAGGTGGTACCTCGAAAACATATACCCGGAGAGTCAGATGCCCCTCGACTACTACTATCTTGGAGAAGTGAGTTCATATTTTTACTACTTCAGCTCCATAAGAACTCTCGTTAACTTTGTATCCCATAAGGAGACATTATTGTAATTAAATGTACCGTCTGAAAGAGTGAGACATGAGCATATTTTGGAATTACGCGTCCTAAACCGAAAAACCTTTTTAGTTATTTCACATTGCCGTGTTTATTCAAATTTTTAATTTAGCGTTGATTACAAAACTCAATTGGACGTTACGTGAACACTTTAAGAGCTATTTTATTGGGACATTGTGGTAGTACGAACAGTCTCTATACCAAAAACACTAGGATTGATTTCGACGTCGACAATTACAAATTGCGCAATTCAGTTGGCGCCAAATACCCTTTGGACTATAGAGGGCCTTGTGTGAGCTTGCTTTTCGTTCAATCATTAAGTTCGGTGCTCTGATTGGTCTGCTCCATGTTAATAAACCATTTAGAGGGTTAAACGTAGCAGTTCCAAAACATATTCGAACTAGGCAGTCTGTACAATTTTTTCCGGCTACGTAACCTAATAGTACTATCATGGTGCCCTAAGACGTTCTATGACGTTTTTACTGACTGATACTATAATTCAATTTTTAGCTCGTCTTTGTCATTAAATATTTTTTGTAAGTAGCAATTCAAGTAAGTTGACTGTTTTTATAACGCATTGCATTCTAGTGTATCCTTCTATTAACAATTGTATCTATTACAGTGCCAAAAGGGTTAATTACCAATTTCGTTATATTAGCCTTAATAGTGTAATACGTATTTTGTAATACCAATAGATGATAATGTTTTATTTGTACAAGTGTTGCGTTTGTTTGACGGTAAATATGAATGTTTGCAGATCCGAAACTCGGAGACTTCGAACTGTTTGGACACACTTGGCGGCAAAGCGGGGCAACCGCTCGGCATGGGATACTGTCACGGAATGGGCGGGAATCAGGTGTGTTAAGATAATATTTAATTACTTTTATTTATTTATAGTCTATGGCTATGGTACAATGTGGTATATAACGACGTTTCATGGTGTTACCAGCTGCCAAAATAATTAATTTTGTTCCATGACCTTTTTTTTTTCAATTTTTATATTTTTTTTATATCAACCAGAACGGTACATCTTACGTTGCGTTTACCACGTTACACTATCATAATATGTTATTATTCCAAAAATGTATAATTATTAAGTAATGACATTGCCTCTCGTTACCACTTAAGAACAGAAAATCAAAGAAGCATTCGAAACGTGGAAAATATCAACCAATAAATCAAGTATGTATACATATATATGCTTGTACGTTATGTACAGTGTTGAACGTCGAGGTTCGGCGACATTGCACTGCTTGTGACACGATAATCCATGCATACATACCTACATACCTACCTTCATGTATACATATAATTATTCTTAATATATGAACATATGTTTGCCGTAATGGGAGGCTATTTTATTGACTAACTTGCACTGCATTTTGTTTCGTAAAGAAAGCGTCTAAGCTCTGATAAATTAGAATGTTTTAGGAGTACATTATACTCACATTTTTAACCATTCTCATATGTGTTTGGCGTTTACATAATATTGCTTTTAAATATATAATAATTTATTTTTTATTTTTATATAATATTGCATTTATTGAAAATATCGATTTATTCACATTGTGCCAAACTTTCAGTTAATGTAAAGGAGATGCTCGATATTCTGGCAATTTTTAAGCTTCTTTTTTCGTTGTTTAGCGAAAAAAAAAACTAAAGCAATACATTTATTTATTAACTCATGCACGATACGGAAGTAAACACAAGTGTGGAACAAGGTTTTGTTTGAAATAATTTAATACACTTACTCGCTTTTGTACTAGATATAATATACATAATTTACTTTACGTATTGCTCCCGAATCCAAAGACTCCCGGGAGTAGTCTTGTTTTTCTTTCCTAGTTACACTGACGAGGGACATGTCCTCTTACCTTATTCTTGCCTTAATTGGCTGGCTCGAGGGGAGATTCGCATGTGTAGGAGTTAAGGACGATTCTGGGTAAGGATGTATCTCTGTAAGATGCTGGTTGGAGTCAATACTCCAACCAGCATCTTACATCTTACTGAGAAGTGAGATCTTACTGATTTTGGAAGTACGGTCAATATCGTACTTCCAAAATTGCTCTGAATGCCGTGGTATATCATTCCTTCCACAGGCAACTCAACATATGGTGGGGGGAGCAAGAGACTAACAACTGAATATGAGGGCCCATTAACTGAGTTTGCCAGCCACACCCTTATTTTTTTTTTTGTCAGGGTAAAGTTATCAAATGTCTTCTCCCGCCCAGGGTGGGGCGGGAGGGAGTGTCAGGCTCTTACTGACTAAAAACGCACCTGTTCCTTCTCCTGCTCTGGGCCGAGGTCGCGGTGCCTCATTGTGCTTCTCCGCAACCCCGGCTGAACATCAGCCCTATAGGGCCTCGTCTGAGGTGGTCTAATGGCTCTTTGAGGTGCGCGCGGAACGTTACGCGCCATGCGCTCGGGTCTGGTTCTGGTCGGGCGGCGAGTTACCCTTACTTGCCGTCCGCAGACCCGCGCTTACGGTGGCCGGAGATCATCTCTAGATCCCCGACGCCCGGAATGTCGCCTACTGCGGCGGCTGGGGCGCGAGGAGGATAAATAATAATAATAATAAATAAAATTTATTGAAGAACACATAATCTAGAATATACAGTTTTGCTTAAAGGATAGTCACCCCCTGCCTGTTTATCCTTATGTATCAATATTGATCAGTTGCAGGGGCCATAGTATTCCATAGTTATCATGTCTACTAATCCACCCGTACTCATTCAGTAATGAGTATGGGTGGAGCTGCGGATTTATAAGTCTCATTACCTTATAATTTTTTACCACATTTGACAATAGTCCTAGATTAACCGGTTATTGTCCTTGGACGGATTTTCATAATGCATTCAAGGATAACTGCCGGCTGTTGTTGATTGGTTGATTAAACTCCTAAGGTCTTCTAAACCTTCCTAAGTTCAGCGATATGTGATTCTGACTGTTCAGATTATTATTATCTGTCATTTAAAAGAATAAATAATAATAATTTGAATGTGTATATTAGCTACACTCCCCATATTAGCTATCAAAACATTACAACGCTAAACCAGTAATAATTTGACAATTATTTCCACAAATGACCGTTGCACTTCAATAACTAGCTTGCAAGTAATATGCATTTAATGTCTCTGATATTAAGGTACATTTTTCAATACACGAGAAGTATAGAAGTCGAAGGCCTAGCTAACCAGTTCAATGGTGCTATTGCAAACAATAGATTTTCTATTATGTTACTTAGTTAGTCTATATAGGATATACATACATAATAATATTACTAGCATATTATAGCGTCGGGCAAAACGGCTTAACGTAGGGCAACCCTTGTCGCAAGATTCATCATTACCATAAAAAAATCTAAAATCCTCATACTAGATCACTTTGTTTTGGCCATTATTAACTATGTATACATTTGTATAGACATGAAAATAAGAATAAATTATTATTTTTCATCTTTGTATTAATACAATTGGAAATTAACCTCCAACATAATGCACTGCTTATTTTATTAGCACGATTACTGAATATTTTTTAGACCCGGTTTTACAATTTCTGGATAGCCAGTAGTACCAAATAAATTTGAATATGGAACGTAATTTTTATGAACTGTATCCCGCATCAGTTAATTGGGTAGTTTCATGAGGGCGTTTAAACAGACAATTATTTTGAATAATTTTGTTTTATATTTCTCTTGCTTTGTAATAGAATAAATAAAAATAATTATTATCGGTTTGCACACCAGCTGTCTCAACGTCAACAAGGCGTTTTCGCTTATTGAACTGTATGATGATTTCTGTCCTACTTAATTATTTTCGATTAAAATTCGGTTCTTTGAATACCGTCGAACGAGTGACCGTTTCATTTCAATTAATGATCTTGGAGTTCTTAATGGGTAAACGAGCATTCTGCTTATTTTCGTGGACTCTTGCAACACCAGTGAAATTGCAAGTTGCCAAAATTTTGCGAATGGGGAGGCGGGTCCACTCCAACCTACAGAGCAAGCAATAGCGTCGCTCCTTCGGCGTGAACTGTTTTTCAGGATTTAACGCGCACGTTCCTTTTTTATTTGTGTTTGCTTGACGTTTGACGTTTGACGGGTAACACCTGCCGTGGTCGTCAGAAAGGTCGACTTTAATATGCAACTCGAAAGTTAAAAGCACTTATCATAATCCAATAGTAAATGTTACGTAAAAAAGTTCAATCAAAATTGTTCCCTATTTTAATTGGTACAAGTTTTATATTGCTGAAACTGTATTTGTTGTTATTATGTGCAGGTGTTCGCGTACACGAAGCGTAAGCAGATAATGTCGGACGACAACTGCCTGGACGCGGCGCACCCGCGCGGCCCCATCAAGCTCATCCGGTGCCACGGGATGCGAGGCAACCAGGAGTGGACGTATGATACGAAGGTAGGCACACAATATTATATCTAACTATTCTAGATTATTGGATTTTCGACTTTATCGTACTTTTCGTGATAGGACAGCAAACGACCTGTATACGGAAGCTGTTAGAAAGGCTTTTATAAATAAATAAATAAACGATTAAAATATGGATTACCTGATGGTAAGCAATCGCCGCCGTCCATGGACACCCGCAACAGCAGATGAGTTACAAGTGCGTTGCCGGCCTTTTGGGGATTAGGGTTTCGCAAATCTGGGGATTAGAGAGGGAAAGGATAGGCGTAGGGAATGGATTGGGCTTCAGGTAACTTCACAACGCTGTGGTTGTTTTACGCCGGTTTTCTGTAAGTGGTATCACTCGACTCAATTCAACTTTATTGTAGTACAATAAAGTTGGAAATCGAATAAAGATTATTTTTACTAATTAGGCGTGTAGATATTGACGTATTGATTCTATTACAGACACGAACAATAAAGCACACGAACACAGGCATGTGCTTGGACAAGCCAGAAGCGGGCGATGTTTGGAAGCCAGTACTGCGGCCGTGCAACCGCTCGAGGGGGCAACAGTGGCTCATGCAGGTCGACTTCAAGTGGCAGGCCAGGCACCAGACCAGCTAGTGATCGTATATCATCAGGTATATCATCATATGTTATTATTTTATTGCTTGAATATAAATACTTAAGATTCACGCCTTATGCATCTCAAGTATAAACTTATATAACTTGATTTATTTTGTACTATACTTGTGTACTTAACAATTTAACAAACAAATGATCTGAGATTTAATGTTTTCAGTAACTTTATGATAAAGGTGGTTGCTCATATTTAAAATTATAATAAGATACCTGTCGGTACACATCTTTATACATAAAAAATTCGTGTCACCTCTTTGTCCGCGATGGACTCCTAACTACTAAACCGATTTTAAATTTGATTTGATTTCCGTGTGCAAAAAAAGATAGGATAGCTTACATCTCAATTTATAGTCACAATATTATTTTGACAAGAACCTTAGCCACAGCAACGCGTGGCTGGGTCTGCTTGTATACTATATAATATTATCACATCATTCTCCTTTTTTTGTCGCTAAGTACTAATTGGTGTTTTTTCTTTTAATTCCAGGAATGACAACGATTGACCATACCAGTCTTCCCTCTCGTTAGATATCAGATTTTATTCCTAATTCCTATAACTGAAATTTTATATGTATTAGATTTAATGTAACGACACGTGGTCCGAGAACTGTTGACAATACATTATGAATGCTGTAATTTGTTGTATTCCCTGTAAACGTTGCTCAATTTAGTATTGCGTCGGATGTTTTTGTGTGCTTCGTTTGACATTGTTTATTGTTTGAATAGAGGTTAATGCGAGAGATATTTATTATTAAAAATATATTATTATATAGTTATGAAACACTATATTTGGTTGCTTGTCGAAAGCTAGTGTATTCTGTAGAGAAGCGTGGTGGCTGTGGTTGAGCCCGCGAACGAGCCATTAGTAGACTTTAGTTACTTAAATTTACTAAAATAACTGGTAATATGCGCACGCGCAGTAGCTCTGGTGTTTGCAGAATACTCCATTCCATGACCAGTTAAGTCTAGGTAATGTTATTGACATAGTTAATGTTTGTCTATATGTATACAATAGTTTCTCTTGTTCGTTATACATTAATATATTATTTTTCAAGTATTTTCAGATTCATTCTGTCTCTTCTCAGTCTGATAGGCATTTACAATTGTTCTAACATAATTATACACTATTTTCTATACTGTATATTTCGCTTGAGTAAGTACATGACCATATCTGTATACTGTTCTGTCTCGTTGTCTTCTAGTACTCGTAGGGAACAGTCGTAAGCTCGCGGTGCGCAGTGCGCGGGGCTAACTGTGATACTGCGGCTTCATGTGATGACTCGGTTAGTAAAGCTAGAATAACGAGCTGCCTTCAAGTAGCACCAACTATCCGATAATGTTATGTCTTCGTTATATTGTAGTACTTGTATCAAAGTGTAAGGTTCTGTGCGGCCATTGACACCGGGAGAATATTTTCATACGTTTGTGTCCAGTTAGATCTAGTTTACTTATGTTATGTTTACTGGAGCCGCGTGTGTCGAGCGCGGCGCCCTCTTATGTGTTATGCGAACTATTCAAGTGTGAGATTATATGTAGCTAAGGAAACTTTCATGAGCTCGTTGTTACATCTACAAAATGGATACGTCTTATAAATGTAACAACAGCTTTATAATTTTAAAGCGACTGTTGCCTTAATTATTTTTATGATGTTTCAAAATATGGCGTTATTGATAGGAGTTATAAATAATAATGAAAATATTTTAGTGTATTTATATCATATTTGAAAGGCTTGATGGAATTGCCTTTATTATGGTTTTCTCATATTAGTATTTAAAAACGGTAGCTAAGTGGACGTTTTAGCAAATTTCATTCCTGTATAATTTAATATAATATAGTTTATCATAATACATCGGGCCCTGACAACGAAATTATATTTAATTAGACGTGAATCGCGTGTTTATTGATGTGGCGTAATATCATTGCATTTTGTATAATTTGACGATTTGGTTGAACGCATAGGGCCGAGATAATTCCTCTCGAAGCCGAATTATTTCTGTACATGATTTTGGATGTATTTCAAATTGGTTAGTGATTTGAGTAATATCGCTTTTTATTATTATTTATTTCATAAATTTAATAAATGTAAGATCATATCACTATGTAAAGTAAAAAATAAAATGTAAATTTATGATAGTATTAGAAAATTGGCAAGTTTATTTATTTACCTAAATTGTAAACAGTGCATCACAGTAAAGTTGTATAAATATACGATTAAAATATAGTTTATCAAGGATTTCTATTTCAGCCGACACTGTTTGTATATTGTTTAACGTTTTATCTTCACGGTCGCACCGAAGTGGGCGGGCTCTGTCGCCGCGGGCGCTGCGGCCCAGTATTGTAGTCATGTAGACGATTACTGTAATTATATTGTACATAAGTTGTTACGTCGAGAATCGTCCATAATAAATACTTACAAAAACAATGACGATGTGTTCATCATATAAGCATTTATTTGTCTAAGGTTCGAATCTCAACAAATATTGATGGATTAATAACCAGAAGTGCCAAATTAATCATCAATTTGTTTTTAAATGTTCATTCAACCATTCCAATAAATAAAAAACCTATATTGTGACTATGACAATTGAAATAAATTATTTGGACTGATATTTTTTTTATTATTTATTTTTGTACTTGAATACCCCCTACTGTAGGGAAATCGGCTTCGTTTTTCCCATTTGTTCTAATGTGGATCGAGAGTCAATGCACTGGTATAATAAGTAGGTAAAAGTAGTTACACAGACCATGAAAAGTTTTTTGGTTATGAATAATTTTAAAATACTGAGGTAATTAGTGCAGTGTGCGAGTAAATAAACTAAATTTAAATAATTGTTTTACCTCCCACTGGCGACAAATGAAACTTTCCATTCGCCTGCAGTAAAGGTGACGATGTACACGAATAACACATTTTTATCAGTGAACTATGCCGATAATAATAATTCCAAGTTTTGTCCCTGCGCGTTTTAAAAAGACGTTGCCCTACCCGTAGGATTTCTCCTGTGTCGTGGGTGCGTTCACAAACATGCAATGTCACATACACAAGATACCCAGACCCGGAACAACAATTTGTGGATCACACAAAGAGTTGTTCCGTGCGGGAATTGAACCCGCGGCACGTAGCGCGTGGAACAGCCCAGCCACCGCGCTTGTCGTGCAGTCCTCTTCATTTAGTATGGCGAGGTCATTAAAATTTTGTAGACAGGGCGTAATTTATTTTGAAAGTTGTATCAATGTGCGCAACGGGTGATGTCAATTGAAAAATTAAAAAAAACATCGCGACATCCACATTGATGCTGAAGGGGGTAAAGTGACTCCACCCATTTAAGAGCTACCTTTTTTGTAAGGGGAAAATAATTAAAACCTGCGGATGGCGAGTAAGGGTAGCACGCCCGGCTGGTGCCCCCAGACAGTCGCTTAGTTTACCTTAGGGATATCAACGACACTCCTTCTGGCGCGATACAACACAAAACAGTAATTATGCTATTGTTTTAGAACAATGTTGAGTGGCGTCGACACACTAATGTTGTAAAAGTTGTACTTAGAAAATTTTCATCGCGTTTTCTTTTATGGAGTAGGAGGCAATCGAGCTCGTTTCTTGGAGGCATTTTTTTATGAGAGGAAAATCATCAAATGTCTTTTCCAGCCCAGGACTGAGCGGGAATGACAGTCACTTTTACTGATTAAAGCGCTCCTTCTTCTGCTATGGGCCGAGGCCGCAGTAAGTCATTGCGCTTGCCCAGCAACCCCAGCTAACATTAGCCCTATAGGGCCCCGTCTGTGGTGGTCTATTGGCTCTTTAAGGCGCGCGCGGAAAGCTACGCGCCGTCCACTCGGGTTTCTTGAAGGCATGGAAGTCGGTAATATAGCCGCCAAAAGATCATTCCAAAATGTTGCTATGCGAGGCAGTTTCGCTAAAATCTTAGTTGTTGACATCCAGCCATCTATATGATGGGATATTTTTACTAAGACCACCACATGTTACCCTTTATTATACTTCTGTTACTCAGCTCTCAAGGAAGTTTCTATTTTCCTTCACAAGTTTAGTCCTGCCTAGCCACCTAGTGCAATTATTACTAAGTAAGTATGTTGTACTATTGCCTCTAGTAAAATTAATATGCAATTGAAAAAAGTACATTCACTTATTTCGTACTGATTAAATTCGTCCTAATCAACAATCTCTATAGATTAGTTACAATAATTTTTGCTCACAATGTTCCAATTACGGAAATACCTATAATATGATGCAGGTGTTTTGTAATACGTTTGTTTGTTTTGCTTCGGCGCTTGGCTTTATTACTACTGGCATGTAGCAAATAATCTAATTTTGGCACACCACTTATTTGTGCATCTTCTGAATATAACAAATAGCGATCTTGTATCTATTTCTGTGCACTTTTATTTATACTTCATAAGCTTGTTATGTGTCTATAAATGTTGTTTGAAGGCAAGAACAATGAAAAGAAAAAAATATGTCACAAAAATTTATTAAACTTAACATAATTTAACTTACCTAATACTGCTATACACTATCTTACATTTATACAATCAAAACAAATGCATACCACACTCTATAATAAAATGATCAAATGAGATAAAATAATATTGCATAAACACAATCACATTTCTATACTCTCGTATAAAAGTATGACAAACTACTTCAATGGGTAACACTCACATATAAAGCACTAAAACGTGCTTTTTCAAAAACGACAAATACATTAGTTGTTTACGGTGGTAAAGTTAGTGAAGGTATAAAGAAAAGTTTAAGTAAAATAACAACGAAACTGATACAATGTCAAGGTTACTATACTAATACATGACTGTAGCTACGCTTGTACCGAAGCGGCGTCTGCGCATCGACTAAATTACATGGCGAAACGTCGCGCGGGTTGGTGATGTGAGGATTATGATTACACTGCCGCGTAAACACTGTTATTGTCGAGTACAAGTGTTATTAAAAATATAATGTATTATAAACTAAACCTGTAGATAAGGAGAGAACGAAAAGTCGAAGGCTCATTTGGTATGTTGAGATCAATGACACATATGGTACACGTCACAGTGGTCCCGTGGAGCGGCGCGCGGCGCGGTCACTCGTGCGGCATCTCCTCTGGATGTAGCCAGCTGTCGTTCTCTGCGCGCGCTAACTGCTTCTTCAGGCTGCAGTATAGCTTGATCAATGAGTCCTGGAACATACATTGTATTGATGAGAAGTTATTTTATGTTTAAATTTAATAAAAACACGGAACTATTAACAAGGACAAAACTTAAACCTAAGACATTACATGTAATATTGTTATTGGAAATATAAGAGAGATGTTTGATTTTTCTCTATTATTTAGTCTATAAATTCTAATAATAAGTCAAAGTCAAAATCATTTATTCCAACAAAACTATAAATAAGGTACTTTTGAAACATCAAAATAGAATAGTAGTCTGTCAGTCTGTTCGTCAGTAAAGTCGTTCTAAATTGTAGATTAAAATGGAGAAGAATGAGCATCGTTGTCTTAATCAATTTCTGTACCGGGTA